ATTTCCCTCCATTGACCAGGCTCAAATGGCGCACAAAATGTGCATTGCAATTGGGATACACAGGATTTTATACAGGTTTTCCAGTTATTATTTATTTATTTTTTTGAAACATTTAGTTTTTGTTATTAATCCGCTGGCAGAATGTTATTTTTGTTTGGGTTCCATTGGCATCCATAAATACCGGAGGAGATTTATAACCGCTCATATTTACCTAGGCCGCTCTATTTCTCTTGGTTTTAACTCAATATTTCAAATTCAGGAACTTTAATTTTTTCATTAAAATGAAACACTTTAAGAGGCTTCAGCTCCTATGTACATACATATATATATATATATCTCGCTAGCATGTTTATGTTTAATTTATGCGCAGGCATGGTTTAGGAGCTAATCACCCATAAGTAGTCTTGTTGTCTTTCCCCACAAATCTTACCTACAAGCAGTTGGCGTAGACTACAGATGTTGTTGACTTGGCGTACGTGTCGTATGAGTAATTTTATCTGTCGCTCGTACGTACGTATGTAAGGATATATGTATATATATATAGTTTCGCATCCATCTATCCTTCGTTCAAAGAAGTTGAAGCAATAGAGAAGCAGCAGACGACGAATGACGCATTTTACTCGTTATCATTAAGTTTATCATGGGAAAGCATTTCGTGCTAATTTTCATTATTATTATCCATATATTCAAGCACAAATTATGTCTTAAGCCTTTTTCGTTTTCAAAGTTCTAGAATTTATCATTAGTAAAAGCTTATTTACTTTCTTTGAGAGTGTAATTCAGAGTAACTGCTTTTTAAAAATGAAAATAAATAAATAAAAATATATTCTTAGACTAAGTGACACCACAAACAGTACAATTCCCTTTTGGGTTACCTCCTTTTTTTATAAAAATAATACATAAAAGATATAGCGAACGATATTTCGATATTTCTTAAATATAAGTCGAAAATATAGAATTAAACACTTAATTTAATATTAAACTTAAATATATATACTATAATAAAATAATTAATAATCTCTTCAGGTAAATGTATACATATATCCACCCACATAGTACCCAAATTCACTCCTTTTATCAGGATATTTTCAGTTCGTTCTCACTATAATTTACCAACACGGCACCAAATGCAGCACCCCCTTTCGACCACGCCCCTGGCTAACTGGCATGGTGGCCAAGACTAACTGCCGCCGATGGTGGTGAGGTGACCGCACTCTGGATTCCGGCTACCGGGACTCTGTCCGAGTCCGTGTCCGGGTCCTAGTCCGGGGTGCAAAGGTCCAGCTGCGCTCCAGTTCCGGGGCCGGGCATTGAAAATGTTGATAATTGAATTCACACGTGAATGATCACAATCTTGAAGCCTTTACTAGCGTCTATTGGCCTGCTCCGTTCCTCGGCTGTGCTCTGTTTCCAGAGCAACTCGATGGGCGGCGACTGCAGTGGATGTAAGGATGCAAGGATGCCAGGATGCGAGAATGTGAGGATGCGAGAATGCGAGAGAATGGGAGGCCGAGCAGAGGCCCAGATTGAATCTGTGCCGTTTTTGGCAAGGCCCAAAGCGAAATGCCAAAGCCAAGCCCAAAACCGAGACCAAAGCCAAGTAATTATGATCGTAAATTGATTAGGCAACGAGCAGCATACAAAGTCGAAGCGAACGGGGTCGGGGCGGCCAAGGGGCGTTGCTGCTGCTGGAACGAAGGACGACAGACCACACAACGGGGTTAATGGAATTAGTGTTACATAATCTCTGTTGTTCCACTGCCTTGCTGATGATGCCGATGCTGCCTGGGTTAACCCTCCAGCCGCCATTCGCAAAAGTTTGGATAACTTTTCGCATAACACCTAAAACAGGACATAAGCACACACACACAACAAGTGACAGAGAAATCACACTTTCGAGTGCCATTAAGTTGTATCTCGAGAGATCTGAAACAGGGCTCCCAAACTATCAAACTAGACGACGAATCGGCTCTGGCACAAACACTCCAAAAAGAACCCTCGACGGCAAAGCATTTAGAGCACATATTTTAAAACCAATCGACTTGAAATCTCTAGAGCTTTTCTCTCAACTTTTGTTCTTGTAGTTCTTATTTATTCCTCTTTTTTTTTTGTTGAAAACAAATCAATATAAACAATCTCGTCTGCATGGGTGACGAATTGCATTGAGACAGGTAAAAACGGCTAAAAAAAGTCAAATATTCGTTACTAATTTTAATAGCGAATGTTTTTTAAAAATGACTTAGATATTCGAAAGCAGAAATAATAGCAAGTGTTTGAAAAATGTTTTTGAATATTTTAAAATATGAAAAATATGCTAATCAAGATGCTTAATTACACACCTTTCCGATTGTCACTAAACTATAATATCCTTGTATCCAAAAGGCAACATACTTTAAAAATACAAAAAATCAATTAATAAGCTTTAATTTTGGTTTCTGATCGATTTGGCCAATAAAAAACACAAACAAATCATAAAAATTAAAGTACATATGTACATACATACTACATAAGTGAAAATGTAATTTTAGCGAATGACGACTTTTCAGAAGACAAAAGGGTTAAAGGCGAGCATTGGCATAGCCCAAATCTGAAAGGCAACAAAAAGTTTATTGCCAAGTGTAAGGAAAGCCGCCACATTGGCCGCCTGAATGAGAATCTCACTTTGGCGAAACATGTTTGAGTCGTAAAAGGGTGCATAAATCTAAATAAATTTATTACGAAAAGCGCCGCGGGGAGCATTCGTCACCTAAGTGAAAATTTCATTTTAGCGAGCGACTCGTGTCCTGCGGCAGACCCTCGAGACGTGCAAAGGGTTAAAGGCAGCGACAGCGCGTATGTGTGTGTGTGTGTATGTGTGTGTGTGTGTGTATGTGTGTGCAGTGTGCAAATGCAATGTTTGCACTCAGCTCGAGAGCACTCAATTAGAAACGTTAAGCTAACGACGACCGCTGCTCTCACTCTTCCTCTCACTCTGCTCATATCCGATCGACGGCATGAACTTGAGGGGGACGGGGCTATACACCCCTCTCCCTCTGCCACCCGCCCTACCCATCACCCTTCTTCCTGCCCTTGCACTCGCACTCGCACCCTCGCACCTGCCTCTTCCCCGCCGATCGGGACTAGAAACGAAAGCAATGGCAAGCATTCCATTCCATTCCTTTCCATCGAATTAATTTGCCTAAAATGTGGCACAAATCTCGATTGCAGCCGTGCACATCAATAAACAAAAACGGCAAGAACAAAATCCGTATTCGAATCCGAATCAGAAACAGAAAGGAGCAAAGGAGCAAGGCAAAGCAAGCAGCGGCAGCAAAGGAATGCAAAAAGGAGAGCAAAAAGCGCCAGCGACATGTGAGATTGATGACACAATCAAACAGGTACAGGCGCGAGCGAGAGGCGTTTAGTGGGGCGCCGTGGGTGCGAGAGAGAGGCCCGACGACGATGGCTCGGGTCGCTGACTGCCAAATGGAAAATGGATTTCAGTATTAATTTCGCTCACGACGAAGGACGAAGGACGACGGCCAAAGGACGAAGGACGAAGGATGAAGGCGCAAGGCACGTTGGCAACATCAAAAGCGAAGCATATCCGTCTTGACATTCCGTCCGTCCGGCCTGCAGATGCAGATGCAGATGCCGGTGCTGCTAGGATGCTGGGATGTGGGACGCAGGACGTGGTTAGGATGAGGGAGCTAGAACGGGAACGGGAGCAAACTGCGGTTGCCATGCCTGCAATGCGATGCGCCGGACCCCGGAGCCGGATTCAAACTTCAGTGATGGGAAAACTGCAAGGGAAAACCACAAGGTATAATAATTGTAATGCGAAAGGGTACCATTGTTTGTCAGGACAATTTACGGAAATACATTCAGGCCAAAGGGATATGCCCTGCGTAAGTCATCCTGACTTGAGTGTACTAAAAGGTACAATGGCCTGTCCGCAAATTTAAGCAACTGAGGTACCAATTTTAGAAGATATAACAAGGTACAGAATTAATCAAAAATATGGTAGTTGTTTATAGCATGTAACCACTGTTTTATACACTTTTTACTTTTAAGGTACACCTAAAGAAATTGGTTTTTACCCTTATAAAAGTATCTTAAAGGCTTATGAAATATCTTAGGGATAGAAGATTAGGAACCAATTTGGAATAATTTTTTTAATCCTTTGTTTAAGGGATTGTACCTTGGTGACCCAAACCTGTACGATACCTGATAGAGCTGCTTGCCTTCCATCACTGATCCTAACCATGTCAGCCAAGCCTTCCGTTCACCGTGCTCTCCTCCTCCTCCTCATCCTCAATCTCCTCTGCGCCGCTCCCTTGGCCATTGGTTTTCGCTTTTATGGCGCGGGCACACCTATTTTCCAAAAGGATTTCCCAGCATTTGCGGCAAAATGAAGCAACAACAAAGTTGCAAAAACAAAGACAATGGCGAAAAAAATACAAAAACAAAAACAACAACAAATAAACTAACGCCAAGTTGGCTCTTTGTTATTTGGGCGTTTGGCAAGTTTCTCCGTGCTTTTCCCGTTTTTATACCCTTGCAGAGGGTATTAGAACTTGGATTAGGAGTTTCCGGCTCAGTGGGCGAGATATTTGTGAACCTAAAAAGTCATTTCTCCATAAGCTGTCTGCTTCAACGCGGATTTGTCCCGAGTCCGAGACTATAAAATCAATAGGGATGGATTCCTTTTTTTTTTTTTTTATTCCTTTTTTGCCCAGCGCACCTTTTATTTACACTACATATACTACGTTGTAGCTGCTGCTGCTGAGGGCTTTAAGGTTCCAATGGCCATAGCGGTGGCTACTTGTATCCTGCAGCTGTCACAGAGGACAGGAATCGGTCGTCGGCATAACACAAAAAATATTGTTTATGTCCAAGTGGATTTTGGTCCTAAGTAGGGGAGAAAATTTCCAGTCAATTTCTTAATTTCTTTAAGAACCAGAGCTGGGAATTCCCACAGACGGACCGTAGGGGGAATTCTAAGTCAAATATCAGGGATATTTAGATATCAGGACTTTAATGGCTTTAAGGGTATAACTTAAATTGTAAGGGAGACTTGGAATAAGTATTTCTTGCTAAGTTGATCAGGTTAACAATTTATAAAAATGACGGAATTTCAAAGAAATCATTTCTAGAGCCAGAACTTGGAAACCCATTGTGTATGGGGTATCCTGTTCTTCGTTCCTTCCAGCTAACCGTATGCTCTAGTTTCTTTTTTGGCTCTCTACTTGTCGTCGTGTCGTCGTCATAGAAAATAAATGGAATATCTTCGCGTTCTGCTTCTCCAGGCACTTCCTCATCCTTCAGCGCGCTTGGCCCCCCCACTTTTCCTGCGGTTCCCATCCGTCATGGCTTGTACTTTTCATTTTCATTTTCTTGTTTTCTTTTTTTCCCTGCTTAGAGACAAAACTTGGGCAGAGCGGGGAACGGGAACTCGACTCGACTCCTCTGTTGCAACTTATGCAAAATATTTGCACCAAAAGGGTTTCGCTGAGAGCGTCGGCACACACATAAATAATTTATGAGCTGCGGCTTCGGCGGCGGGGAGACAAATTGAAATTAGCATAATAAGGAGACAATACAGAAATCAGTTGTTTGCTCTTCCATCTACTCGAACTTTAATTGGATGCGTTTTAGCCCTGGCGTGCCCGCTTACGTTCCTGATATCGAGCCAGTGCCGCCTCGAAGACCTCGCCCACGGTCCTTTTGCGCCAGACGAGCGTGCGGTCAACGGGCGGCTTGGTGACTGTCGGCACGGGCAGGTCCACCTCATTCTGCTCGCTGCCGGCATCGGTATCGGTACCTGCATCCTCATCCGCATCCCCATCCACATCCTTATCCTTATGGGTTTTGCCATTGGCCTTCTTCCCTTGCTTGCGGCTTTCCTTCACTGCTGGTCCTGCTGGTTCCTCGTCTTTGCTGTTTGTTCCGTTGGCCTGCGGCTTCTCCTTTTCCCCCTGAGACCGCGGCTTATCCTTCGCCTTTTCAGCCTTCTCCTGCTCCTCGTCGTCGCTGGAGTCATCTATACTGAAGTCAGAGTCGGCATCTATATTGTTGGCCAAATGAGCCTGGGCTGGCTTGGCCTCAGCGTGATCTTCGGTTGCGGGACCCTCTCCCGACGTCGCTTTGGGTTCTTCCTCCTCGGAGGAGCGGCGTTGCCGGTAGCTCCTATGCTTTGGGGCCTCCGCCTTGATGGGCTTGTACGAAACCTCCTCAGTGGAGGGAGCAGTTTTGGGCTTCATCACATCCCCATCGGCGGTGGCGGTGCCCAGCTTTTGCTCATAGAGGTGTCGATAGAAGCCGTCCAGATCCTTCTGCTTGGTAACATCGCCAATGGCCTCGAGATAGTCGTCGCGCTGCTCCTGCTCCTGCAGCAGGCGGATGGACTCGAGCTTCTTGCGGTAGGCGGCGGTCACGTAGGTGTCCTTGTCCTTGAACTTCTCGCCCTCGGCCTCGCGGTCCTTCTGCACCTGCCGCTCTATGCGCAGCTCCTTCTCCAGCTTCCTCCGCTCGGCGTGCTCCATCAGCCGGCCGATGTACTTGGGCTTGCGCGGCTCCTGGCTCTTGGTCTGCTTGGCCTCCTCGCGACCGCGGTCCATTTCGTCGTAGAGCTCGTCATACTGGAAGATGGTGGGGTCCTCGGCCAGCGCCTTCTCCTGCTGTCGGCGAGCCACGCGCCGCTCCATCAGGCTGGGGCCGCTGGAGACGCTGGGACCCTTCGGCTTCAGCTGCGGGGCCTTCGGGTCGTCGTCGCTCTCGGAGGCGCTGCTTTCATCGAAAATGGCTGGTTTCGAAGTAGCCGGCGTCCTGACGGGGGCCGTCTTCTGTTGCCCGGGTATGATGAGGCCATACCTGTGGGTAAAATCTACATTAAAACCACTTAAAAAGCATAAAAGCGCAAATTACTCACTGTTTTGACATTTTCCCGTCTTTGTTTTTGTTTATAAAAAAATACAGTGTGGCCGTTCTGCCCGCATGCAATAATATCGAAATTCGAGTGTTGCACAGGCCTCCCGCTGACCAACACTGCCCGCCAAGCAACCCTGCGCCCGCCAAAGCAACCCTGCCATCAGTCAACTGTCACTTAGGCCGCTTCGGACTTCCTCTTTCTCTTTTCCGATACGTTCGCGGTCGTGTAAATTTGTGTTTGCAAACCAATCCTAGGTAATCGCCGTTCAAATTATATGATTTGTTATAAATAATGAGGCTAATGGCTGGCCCATGGCCGCCGCCTTCCCTGCCGGCAAAGATTTAAGGTGGCCGCCGGGCGAATTACGTGCAAAATGTTACATTTTTCATATATTTTTTTACTGTGCTAATATTGGATGGACTTGTTGTACTTGCGCTGTGTAAACAATCCCAACGAACCGATGGATTGCATATGCGTCTATTTTTTTTAGTTATATTTTTGTTACTGTGCTGGTTGTTTTTTTTTCTGGTTGTGCGAAGTTACGGGCCAGAGTTTGTGTTGCCCTGCCGCCCAGAGTGTTGTTGCTGCTAGTGCGAGCCAGTCAGAGAGTGTGTGTGTGTGTGTGTTTGAGTGTGTGCGAGTGGTGTTAAAGTGCTGCCAAAAGGCTTAAATTATACAGAAATTGTAATGTTATAACGAACCGGCTAAATCCAAAGGGTTTTCCGCCCAGAAATGTCGTGAAATTCCACTCGCACACACACAGACATAACTTGTTGTTTACAGGCAGAAACACGCACACACACGTAATGCTGCATTGGTTTTGTACTTCATTTTTTGCACGTGCTTCGCCGGCAGCCGCCTTTTGTGAAATCTTGGCACAAAAAACTACATAAAAGTTAACAACTACAACTTATATCTCGCATTCTTTTGCCCCTTTGCAGCCATGGTGCGAATGAACGTATTGGCCGATGCCTTGAAGTGCATCAACAATGCCGAGAAGCGTGGCAAGCGCCAGGTGCTGCTACGTCCCTGCTCCAAGGTGATCATCAAGTTCCTGACCGTCATGATGAAGCACGGCTACATTGGCGAGTTCGAGATCGTGGACGATCACCGTTCCGGCAAGATTGTGGTCAATCTGACCGGTCGCCTGAACAAGTGCGGCGTCATCTCGCCCCGTTTTGATGTCCCAATCAACGACATCGAGAAGTGGACCAACAATCTGCTGCCCTCTCGCCAGTTCGGCTACGTTGTGCTCACCACCTCGGGCGGTATCATGGACCACGAGGAGGCCAGGAGAAAACATCTGGGAGGCAAGATCCTCGGCTTCTTCTTCTAGGCTGGGCTTTGCGAGCGGACGAGCGAGTTGAAGTGGTTGATGGATATGTAGAATGTTGTTTTATTTCTCCGATGTACGCCGCCTTCCTTCCCCATCTTACATTCAGCTACGTTTTGTATGCAAAGCCAAGGGCGAGAAACTCATTCATTCAGACAGACATCCAGCCAATGAATGTTCACAAAGAAACGCGAAATAAAATGATTGATACATAATAATTTTAATACACGATTTTTTTTTAAACAACCCATTGATGAAATCTATGTACGGTAGTGATGAAACAGTAAATCGATCTGTAAACAATATATAAAACCCGACTGTGTGTGTGTGTGTGTAAATGGAACTGGAAGCTTAGCTTATGTAGAGCGTGGAATCCTTCAAGGGATGCGTGACGAAGGCGATCCAAGCAGCAAGAAAACTACGCCATGCGGTTACGGACACCTGCGTGAGGAGTCACAGCCTTGCGAAAGGGTAACCAGTGAGCGGGAACCATTACCTAATGCCCCCGAATGTTGAAGTTACCCGAAGGTATATGTAATTTTGGCTTTTTGAGGCATTTCCAATGTTTTACCAAATGGATTAATTATCAAACTTCAATTACAGGCTATCCTCTGTCAGGCTGTCAGGCGCACCTATCTAACATTTTGCAAGGGAAACTGAATACCAGGGAATACCGAAGGAGAGTGCTTAACCTAGAAGGTTGTGGCTTTATCGAAGAATTCTTTACCATATGACACAGAAAGCCAGTAGATTGTACATTGTAAAGTTGATAAGCTTCATTGAAGTGTAATATGAATAATGCTAAGCAAATCATAGAATTGTCTTAGTTTTTTTTTTTTTGTAGTCTGAAAGCTAAATTAATCCCCTGATTATTTAGTTTATTCAAATGGTTGCATAGGTGTGTTAGTATAGTAGAAGATCTAACTAAAAAATGGTGTATAACCTTAAAGTTGTAAAATGTTGTAGGTAAACATTTAGTTGTCAACACAAACAAGAAAGGAAACAGACCTCGGCACGCCAAAAATTTTGATAAAATTGAAAACGGCTAATCGACTGATGATGAAAGCTGATAAAAAGCATATATACATATGTATATTCAGTTTGATGTCAGAATTGACTTCTTCCATCCTTCTGCCGCTATTTGACAGAGCTCAGCAAAAGAACAATCCAAAGATAGATAGCTAGTGCTTTGTTATTTTTCTTATTATTTTTAAATAATATATGTAAATTCTTGAAGCTTAATCCAGTTTTGTAGAATCTTCCAGCAAGGGCTCATCTTTGATTAGTCTGGATTTGGTCTTGGGCCTGGCTGGAGTATAGATTGGATTTATTGGCGGGGGCTGTTGTCTTCCCTCTGGCGTGGTAGGTGCAGGGCCATCATTGGCCCTTGGTGGTGTCTGGGGAACATTGAATACCTCCTGCTCCTGCTTCTTCTTTTTCTTGGACGCCTTCCCTTCTCCCTTCGAAGAACCTGCTTTAGCCACGTCCTGGGCCTTGCTCTCCATCTTCTTCTTCTTTAGATCCTGCTCGATATCGGTGGGACTGGGCTTGCCGGCACGCTTACCTAATAGCTTTCCGGAAACCTTGTCATCCGCTGAAGTCTTCTCTTCAGTGTTCTGCATTTGGACACCCTCTGTGTTGCAGGTCGCTTCTGCCTTCACCTCGATGCCGACGTCCGGTTGCTTCTCTTCCTTTTTCTGCAGCTCTTTGGTCATCTTCGAGAATCCGTCCATGTCGTAGGTGTGTAATGGTGGCAATGAAAAAAGTGCTGACCGAGTTTGATGAAGACTTTGACGTTAGTCTAACTTTTGACGTTAAAGTTTTACCAGTGACATACCAGCTTGACATTGAATTCAATGGGCTCTTTGATATATCTACTACAACTGCTTTTTAAAAAAGAACCTTCGTAAGTTTAACAATGTTTGCATTATGAAAGTTGAGTTTGAACTGATTTGGTAGAAGAAACCCAAGATGGGCTTTTTTCCCTTTGTATATATATTTTTTTTCTTTTATACTTTATCATTATTATTATCAATTCAAAAATCTGGCGGGCAGCGTTCGACTTCAGTGTTGAAAATACTCTCCAACAATGAGTGCTGATAAACAACATGCTCCGGATACTTTGCAACACTCATTCATGCGAAGGCCTGTCAACTTGATAAAGTGACACTAAATGCATAGCATACTTTGCAGCTCAAAAACAGGCAAAACTGTTGGAAGCTTAAATCGGTTAATTACCAGATTATTATTCGACCCAAAATTAAATTCCCGTCCGCAGGCCAATTACTTTTTTATATTTATAAATGACAACTATCGATCGACGTTGCGTGTGGCCCATAATAGAGATAATTGATGAGTCCTCAGTCCCCATCTGGCGTTATCATCCTTCAATTGCCATGTTGTATTGGGCCAATAATTGTTTTTTTGGCCAATACAACCTACCATCACACACCCCTTTGCTAATCGGCAAAAACAATCGAAAGGTCGTGCACGGCCCCTTAATCAATATAGATTGGGGTCGGGCGGCGGCGGGCCCAAAATGGCGGAATCCGGCCAAATGACGGGCTTTTGCCATTCATTCCCCGATTCCGATTCCAAGCATGCCACTCCGCACGACCCACTCCGACTGATATCACTAACACCACTAAAGCACCCCCGATTACCCCGTTATCAGTCTATAAAATAATCAAATTACGCTACAGACAGCACTACAGCATAGCTGGAATCCAAGCACCCAAATGATGGTTGTCAGAAAAATAGTACTTACCTTTGATAATACTTATATGTATATATATTTTCTTTTAATATAGGAAACTTATAGGCCATAAGTTAAGTATTTAAATAGTAACTATAGTTGCTAGGCTTGGGTTGAGTCTTAATTCACCTTAAAAATGTAGACAAGTTCTTATATTTTGAGACTAAACTAAAATAAAGGGCAAGTTCAGTGGTATCAAAGGTACCATGGAAATTAATGTCAAGCTGTTGTCACTTGTTAAACTTTAACGTCAAAAGTTTGACTAACGTCAAAGTCTTCACCAAATTCGGTCAGCACTTTTTTCATTGCCAGCTTCATTTTCGCAAAGCGCTTTTCTTAGCACACTTAAGATATGGACGGATTCTCGAAGATGACCAAGGAGCTGCAGAAGAAGGAAGAGAAGCAACTGGACGTCGACAACGAGGTGAAGGCAGAGGCGACCTGCAAAGCTATTAGGTAAGCGTGCCGGCAAGCCCAGTCCCACCGGTATCGAGCAGGATCTAAAGAAGAAGAAGATGGAGAGCAAGGCCCTTCCCCAGACGCCATCAAGGGCCAATGATGGCCCTGCACCTACCACGCCTGAAGGAAGACAACAGCCCCCGCCAATAAATCCAATCTATACTCCAGCCAGGCCCAAGGGCAAATGCAGACTAATCAAAGATGAGCCCAAAACTGGATTAAGCTTCAAGAATTTATAAATAATATTGAAAATAATAAGAAATCAGAAATATTACAATGCACTATCTATCTATGTATCTTCTGGTTGTTGTCTTTGGCTGCTTAGCTTTGTTAACTAGATTTAGAACGAGGGAAGAAGTCTATTCTGACTACACAAATTGTATATACATTATTGAATCGAATTATATCCTAAAGCTGTCTCAAAAGCAATCGATTTATATATTTAAGAGCCTAGAAAATCCGTAAAACTTTCTCTTTTTAACACTTTAATGTTTTATGTTCGTTTTTTTTTTTTTTTAATTTTAATTTGTTCAAAGTTTCAGCTGATTAGTTAAAAGTCATAATAGCAAAATAACTTATATTATATTGCCCGGGTGATGACTTCCTATGACTATTAGCAGATTGGAAATATGTTCAGCATTTGGTGGGAATTTAATTAGAGCAAATGCGTTTTTTCGCCACCCAATTCCAATAGCAATAGCCACTATCGATCGAATCAGAGCCACATATAATGAAAGTCACCGAATAATGACATTTGCAACGCCCTCAATTGGGCGCCGCGGCGGGGGCATAGAAATCGGGGTCCCATCAGACCCGAGAGATCGCGCGTTTTCGGTGCAATGATTCAGCAGAGGCTGAATGGCAATATCTTTCTATTTTATTATTATTATTTTTTTTTATTTGCAGCTGTCGAGTCGAGAGGCTGGCTTGGGCTCTGGCTCTGGCCTGATGAATATGAATAGACCGTTTTCTGTACAAGTTGGCAAACAAGCTCAGGTAGAAACGTTTAGGGAACCATAAAGTTCCAAAGCAACGACAACTGGTTGCTCTTAATTTTTAATTAAATCTTTAAAACTCTTGAATTATCATGGGATAACTAATGTAAAATGTTAATAATAAGCTTGGGATATTGCTTTGATTCGATTACAATACCTGAAAGTGTTAGTATATAGTATATAATATATTATTATATTATAGAGAGCTTTACGTAAGACTACTGGGTATTTTAGATGTTATACATTAAAGGTGGAAAGGCTTTAAAAAAACCTTTCAAACAAATTAAAATGCTTAACATTTTAGTTGGCATTTAAAAAAATTAAAGCTAGTTTCTTAATTATGATTTACTAGGTGCTTAATTCTCCTATATTCTCAAATTACACAGAGAAATGATCAGGAAATCGTGGGCTTCGTGCCCAAGTGCTATTATCTTGACCTCCGCCGTTTGACGGTGAGGTGAGGTTCTGTATCCGTGGGCAACAAGCACAATTAGCAGACTGATAATGGCGGACACAACGCTGCCGGAATGAGCCATCCATCGGTTATACCCGAAGTCAGGCAAATAAAAAAAAAAAAAAACCCCTAATAGAAAAAGCGACGTAACGTGCGCAGCACTGCGATCTCTGGGAAAGGGTTCTATTTCTTGTTCTCGTACGTTCCAAAGCTTTTCAGCGCCTCGCAGCTGGGTCGCAGCTATGTACAGATGTAGGCACCCAGCCAGAGATACCCGGAGAAACTAGTTTCTGCGTCTCGGAGATCCGATACCGATCTATCCACCGAAGACACATCGTCGTGCGATGCGCCGCCAGCCACCACAACACACGTAATAGTTGAACCTCGGCTAAGGTGAGGGGTTCAAAACCGGGTCCGGGCTCGCGAAAGCTCGCACCTATTACATGCTACATATATATACATACATACATATATGGATATATGTATATAAAGAGTCAAGACCCGCTTAATATGCAAGCCATCCACGTCGACGTCGACCAGACACGACTCTCGCTTGCACTTAACATTGAAAAAGGCTGGATCAAAACGGGAATATGTGCACTCGGTTACTGTGTCACCGCCGTTATGTCAGCTGGATCCGATGCACTGGGAGAAAATGTCTCCTAAGAAATGGTGCAAAATTTGAATGCATAGCAAATTAATATTATCCCATATCTAACTTGGTTACCTCTCTTAAAGTAAACTATTAATTTCATTTTCCAATTAAACTTTTTCGCCATAAACTTATGAATCATAGAAGTTAGATTCCAAACTTCCTCGCAAACAGATTAGGATAAGGTAAAGCCATAAAAGATGATTAAATTTGTAGCAAAAAAGACCGACTCATGATACATAACCTAGCCTCAGCAGCATAGAAAATCTTAATCGAAATCAAACAATATATTTTTAATATTTAATTTAACATTTAATATTATAGATAATAGTCAGCAGCAAAGTTGATCTAGCTAGTTTACTTTAACAAAATCTACCACAAACTATGTTAAACTATATCACTTTTTCTCACAGTGTCTCTGTGGCTGTGACGTCGCCGGTGTCGCCGCCGGGGCATTCTCAGCATTCTGATTCAGTTTATAAACCTATTTCGCCACAGCCAGCCCCAGACGGCGATAAGTTTGCAGTTCCTACTTCGTTTTTTTTTTTTCATTTCTTCTTTTTTGTGGAAATGTTTCACGGGCAGATAAGCCCAGAGGTTTGAGGCGAAAGTCCGTCCGCCGACCGATTTCCCCTGATAAAGACCCACGTGCTTAGCTCTCGTATTCGCTTCCGTAAAATCGTTTATTGTAGTGAATTACAAAAAGGAAAATTAAAAAAAAATATATATATTAAATTAACACAAAAAATCACTTTCAGCTTTCTGCTAAAGGTATGCTTCACAGGTGTTTCTTCTACGCTCTAGGATTAATATTTAGTGGCGTGAATATATGTAATATAGCTGGGGCACGGGGGGTGTTGCGATTCGAATCCGCTCCCGCTCGCCAGGAGCAGCCCCCGTCCCGACAATGGGTTTGTAGCCTCTTAGGAGGTAGACTCAAAGTATGCCTTGGACTTGGTGGGATCGGCCACCATGGTCTTCTGGCCGGGCTTCCAGTTGGCCGGGCACACCTCGCCGTACTTGTCCGTGTACTGGAAGGCCTGCACCAGGCGCAGGGTTTCCTCAACGCTGCGGCCCACCGGCAGATCGTTAATGGTGATCTGGCGCAAATTCTGCTTGTCATCGATGATGAAGAGGCCGCGGAAGGGAATGCCAGTCTCCTCGTCCAGCACACCATAGTCGCGGGCCACCTTCATCGACTTGTCGGCCAGCAGGGGAATGTCCATGCTGCCCAGGCCGCCCTGCTTGCGCGGCGTGTTGATCCAGGCCAGATGGGTGAACTGGCTGTCGGTGGAGCAGCCGATCACCTCGCAGTTGATCTTGCGGAACTCGGCGGCATTCTCCGAGAACGCAATGATCTCCGTGGGGCACACGAAGGTGAAGTCCAGCGGGTAGAAGAACAGCACCAGGTACTTGCCCTTGTAGTCGCTCAGCTTGATGTCCTTGAACACGCCGTTGACGACGGCGGTGCCGGAGAATTCGGGAGCTTGTTTCTGCAGCTGGGGCATCTGCAAGGTAAAGGGGAGGAAGTCGAATGAATTTTAATATGGATTTTACGGGTACAAATATACAAATACAAAATACAAATAAATAAATAATACATTTATTAAAAAAATTCAGTTGTGGCTCAAATATTTTTTCTAACTAAAGAGACGATGGATAACTAATTAGTCACAATTTCACCACTGGGATCATAATTACATAGAAAACTTGTGCATTTCTGTTAAATTTGAAGAATAAAGTTTATATTGAAAGTAACTCAAGGCTGTTGCAATTGCAAAAGTTCAGTGGTAATGGCAATTTCCGGATCTAAGATTACAATAATTTAAATAAATTATAAGAGTTCCCCTAGAAATAGGCGACTCGTGGAAAGCTGAACTCTACAAAATGGCCGCCAAATTGAGGGCATGATGGAGGGGAAGGGGGAACAACGAAAGAACTGGAAGAAACGAAGAATTGTAAATCAACCGAAAAAATCGCGGGCCCGTGTTTTGTCGATTGAACTTTTCGGCACGTTCATCCAATTCGCGGTGTAATGGATGCCGAATTAATTACAAATCAAAAATGTTTCCGAATCGCCAAATACTTTCGTCTCATTTTGGTTCCCTTTTTGCTTTTCTCTTTATTTTCCCTTTTTTTTTGCCGGCTAACGTTTCATCTGTGTGCGTGTGTCTGAAAGATGTGCTGGTGTTGGTGCGACGGACGTGCCAATAAAGCAAGGGGGAAGCAAGAAGCAAAACTATGCTCGTGCTATTGGCAGAAATAACTTGTGAAATATCTCCCGATCCAACATCACTATCTTGCACATCCACACGACACCGAGTTCATCTTACGCTCTCCCGCAACTTCTCCCTGACTTTGCCCAGAATCAGCGACATTAGCGGGCCCATTGCCCGGGGCACTCACTGTAGTTTTGTAGTTGGCAACGGAACTTAGTAATGGTCGACTTCCGCGTGGCTAGTTGATTTAGCTTGATTTAGCACAGACCTTCTCGGCACGACGTTATTTCGCGAATGGAAAACTGCGAAACTTTCGTACTAGGGTTGTTGATAATATATCAAAATATCAATATATCGATATTTTTTTTCTGAAAATGATATATTTATATCGTAATTTTTTTTTGCCCAAATATCGAAATCACGATATTTTTTAATGATATTTTTTGATATTTTTTCTTTCGATGGAAAAAGGAAACTTCTTTAAAAAAAAGAATATGAATGTAAAATCTAATTACATAAACATAACAAACGGCACAGCGAGGTGGAAAAAGTGCGAAAAAGTGTTTAAGACGAGTGGAAATTCGTCAAACTTGTCGTCCCACTTGCGAAATAAACATGCAGAAACTAGTCGTCTTTTCATTTAGAGTATTCCCTTAACTGTTGAATCGCAGAATCTTTGAAAATTCAAGAAAAATTGTCGACAGTTAAAGGAATCCCCTAATTGTGCAGAAAAACCATGTTTTTTTATTTAACAAAAAAATATCAAATATATCGATATTTTTTTTTGATATTTTAAATATTATTATCATCTCTTCCCAAAAAAAAAAATATCATCGATACGATATTTTTTCCAAATTTCGACAACCCTATTTCGTACGAAAGCGCATTAATTTAATTTTTTAGGGTTGCCTTAACAATATCGTGATATTTCTTGGTACTTTCCCCTTGGTCACTCTGAATTTCAATGTAAGATGTCAAAACACAGTTTTACACGCTTGGGGTCGAATTCTCGTTTTTGGGGTCGAATTCTCATGTAGAGAGTAAAAATGTAACTATATCAAAATACCGAAATCGCGATATTTGGTATTTTCCCCTTGGTCACTCTGAATTTCAAAGTAAGATGTCAAAACACAGTTTTACACGCTTGGGGTCGAATTCTCATGTAGAACGTCAAATGTAAGTATATCAAAATATCAATATATCGATATTTTTTCTGAAAATGATAATAATATAATAAAACAGTTTGGAAAAAGGAAAACTAAACTAAATAGTCTTAAATATATTTGTTTAAACAAATTTTGCCGTAATTAAACCGACTGTTCCTCATGCCATAATACTCTTGGGTTGCAAAACACAAATAATGCTATCTTCACAATTAGAAAATATTGTCAGGTAACTATTTGAGAGACATTTTTACTTAATTGATTGATTTTGTTTCTAAATATTACAAATGTTTCTCCCTGAGTAACGCTGCATACTAATAAAATTAAATATAACAGCGAGAGTATCGACAATCAAAATAGGTAATTTTAATTTTCCGCTATGAGCTTAGTAAATATTTTAGTTTTTAAGCCGTGCTACCACTATCGATAGTATCGAAATGTTGGAATATTGCAAGACAATATCCTTCAATTCTCTTATATTTTAAAGATGTACTTATCTTTTGTCCCGTAACCATTTTGGCTCGTAACCATTATTCTTGACCAACAAATTTATAAAAATGTTCCATATAAATGCAAAATGCACCAGGCCGGCATCCCATTCCAAGCTTGCAATTTTTTGTTGTTTTATTTTGAAATTAATCTGGCAACTCTGGGGAACGCACACACACACTCCGCCGCTTGCGTGTATTGGAGCGTGAACGACGAAACAGGCACAACGCAAAAACATGCGAATCACACACAGAGACGTAGTTGACTGGGAACAGGGGTGTGAATTTATGCCCTGCCAACGAATGAATAATACATACAGCCAGAGAGATAACCTTATTTTCGATTTTTAAATTAATTCGAAAAGCCGAATTTACAACGAAAGAAAGCGGGAAAACGCAGCAAGCAGATGCACTGCTTTTTGCATTTTCGGACCCTCTTACACTGCTTCTAGCTATTTGGACCGCTTACACTGCTTTTTCGTTTTAGTGCAATAAATGGGCTGGTGTGTGTTGGTGTGAGCAGCGAGGCGAGCACAAGGTATAGCGAAAAAGAAAGCCAACACTGGCAAGCAGAATGTGCAATACCCTTGCATTTAAAATAAAAGATTTAATGTTTGGCTGCGTAATTTTGTCATCAACTGGGTTGAGCTCAACAGGTCCTTACAAATAATATAATTTTCACAAGGCTCAAAAACTTATCCAAGTTTAAGATCCTTCCTGCGGGGAGCTCTAGGTTATGGGATTCGCATCCGATAACTACAAAATAAACTTGTGAAAGTCTATAGCGAGTGAACGGTTGGGAAAAGACCGGTTTTCCTAAACGGACCAGGTGAAGGTGATCAAGAATATATACACATAGTTATAGGGTTGCTAATACCTTTTACTGCGTTACAAACATCTGAATGAAACTGTAATACGCTCTGCAAGGGTATAATGAGCGAATCGCAGGCAAAGGCAGAAAAGAAAACAGCTAAATTGCAGCTGCTATGTTGCGAGCAAGCGACGACGAATAGGGTAAAAAAGGCCACAGTGAATGATGGCGGTAAAGCGAACAGACCCGAAAGCAAACGAACGATAGGCGAACTGAGTGGCTTCAGGGGCGTAGCTTCGGGGGATCGAGCATGACTTGACTGTCAAGTGGGCCTCTAAATACCGAGCAGTCTTTTCGACTCGCAATCCGTGTGTGTGTACTATTGAATATCAATTAATTAGTATTGCTCAAATTGTATTAAGCCCTTGATATGTTGTTAAAGCATGTTAGGACATCTACTGATAGTTGTGTAGGATCACAGTAGCCCGCACCCACTTCACAACGTGCTCGTGCAACGTGAACGTGGAAACAACCCCCTAAGTGTTGGCAGCGCCGCCACTGTACTGAGCGACACAGCACAGGCAGAAAGAAGAAGCAGAGCGAAGGCAGAGGCAAAGGCAAAGTTGTGGAGTAGTTGTTTGGATGTGGACGGAACGGAAGACTGGCGGCAACTAACCAAATACATGCTGGCTGTGGCATCAAAAGGTAAGTCGGCGGACGTTAACGCAAAACGTCCCGACGGCCACGGCAAGTTGTTACACATTCTCTGTCGCCTCCTCTCTTCTCTTCTGTTCTGTTCAATCGCCATCTGAACTGAACTGAATGATGTGTTTCAGCTAGCTGTGCGCGAGTGTGTGTGTCTATTTTCCTGCTCTTCTGCGGTGCCAAAAGGCAAGAAGTACGAAAAAGCATTCGTTTATTATTGCTCGCGTTCGTATTTTTTCGAAACTTATATGAAAAAGAAATTTTCTGCTGCTGCCTGCTGCTCTGCATAAGTGTGCGAGTGCTGGTGTATGTGTGCTGCTGTTGTGTGCTCTCTCTGGGTGTGCGAGAGTGCGGTGTGTGCGAGTGTGTGTTTGCGTGCGAGTGTATAGGTGCGAATGTGTGTGTGTGACGGACCAAAAAGAACCGACGACGACGAGACGACACTGTAAAAATTCGATTTGTGTGTTGTGCACGGCGGTGGAAGCGAGAAGAATATTTTTGGCGAATAGAGTGCGATTATCAGGCTGAGTAAATACAACAAATAACAGACGCAGCACAGCAGCAGCAGCATTAACAGTAATCAATCGAAGCCAAATCAAAGCCTACATATATACAGCTGCTGCCTCCCCCTTGCATTTGTAACTGTAAACCTAATTGTGTGTCTTCTCTTCTTCCTCTCTCTCTTGCTTGCTTTGCTGCTCCCTCTTTTCGCTCTCCTGCTCACCTTCTCTCCGCTTCTCCGTCTCTGCGCCTCTTCCTCTTCGTTTTCGCCGGCGACTCTTGGATGCGAACCGAAATCCACAGCAGTACATTGACAGGAGCACCTTGGAGTGGAGAGGATAGCAAGCGACCGATAAGCGGGAGCGATAGCCAGCCAGCAAACCTAGAAAGCCGGGCGCGGAGCAGAAGCAGCAGCCAACGTCCTGGGCGCAACGATACAACCAGCGAGCATCATTAGCAGCCAGGCAGATCCAGGCAGGATCCGCACACGAACACGCACATCAAGATGTCCAACGGCAAGGCGACAGTGTCGTTCTTCGAGAACGGTAGCACCACACAGTTCGAGTACTGCTACCAAATGTACCCGCAGGTGCTCAAGCTGAAGGCGGAGAAGCGTTCCAAGAAGCCACAGGAGCTGATCCGGCTGGACCAGTGGTATCAGAATGAACTGCCCAAGCTCATCAAGGCGCGCGGCAAGGACGCGCACATGGTGTATGACGAGCTGGTGCAGACCATGAAGTGGAAGCAGACGCGCGGCAAGTTCTATCCGCAGCTCTCCTATCTCGTCAAGGTCAACACACCGCGTGCCGTCATCGCGGAGACGAAAAAGGCCTTCCGCAAGCTGCCCAATCTGGAGCAGGCGATCACAGCTTTATCGAACCTCAAGGGCGTCGGCACTACCATGGCCTCCGCCCTGCTTGCGGCCGCTGCACCCGACTCAGCCCCCTTTATGGCAGACGAGTGCCTAATGGCCATACCGGGAATCGAGGGCATTGACTATACCACCAAGGAGTACCTCAACTTCGTCAACCACATCCAGGCCACAGTGGAGCGCCTCAATGCGGAGGTGGGCGGTGAGACGCCGCACTGGTCGCCGCATCGCGTAGAGCTGGCTCTCTGGTCGCACTACGTGGCCAATGACCTCAGTCCCGAGATGCTCGACGATATGCCGCCGCCGGGAGCCGGTGCAGCGGCTGGCAACGCCACCGGGACCGCAACACTCAGCACAAACGGCAGCAGCAAGGTGCTCGACGGTGATGACACCAACGACGGCGTGGCCGTCGATTTGGACGACGAGAGCCTGGGGGCAGGTGAGTTCATATCCCGAGTCCATTTCAGTAGCAGAAGTAGGTTTCAGAATGCACGCAGAGTCTAAAAGTATCGAATCGCTTTCTAGAAATCCATATGTTTAGTAGTTTTTCTAATGAAAAGTATGTTAGAAACGAGCTTTTGTACTCCCATTCTAGGCAATTTGTAGGAAATTGAGGTGGTGGGAACAGGTCCAGATATCGTAGCAACTGAGTTTCGAAGTGTTTTATTTCTGTATACATATATCGTTTGTGATAAGCTTCTGTCTATAACTCCTCCAGTTTCAATAAATTGATATCCGAGTCCCCTATATCCTGGAAAGCCTCTTAAGTTACTTTATCGAAGTTTGTTTATTACTTTAAATGTCAAGTATTTTTTATATCATAAATAAATTGCAGAAAGCAATATTTAAATAGTTCTGTAAAGTCCATAAAAAACGATACTGTTAGTATATAAAGACATAGTTCTTAGGAATCTAGATGGTATCTTTTAGGTGAAGATACTCCCTAAAGTCCAGGGACTCGCAGTGCTGCCATTCTAACCGTTACTGCTGTCTAGCTGTAATAATAAAGTACTAAAGCTGCTTAACTCGATACCTATCCCCAGGCGGCCGCAACACTGCTACAGAATCGGAGACGGAGAACGAAAACACCAATCCGGCTGCACTGACGCCGCTGCAGGTCGGTGAGGGCAAGAGCCACAGCAATGCCGTTGGTGTGGGCGCCGCTCTGCAGGATGGCGACTCTAACTTCGTGTCGAATGATTCCACCTCCCAGGAGCCAATTATTGACGACAACGATGGCACCACACAGACAACGGCTACTACGTCCACAGAGGATGGTGAACCGATAGCCATGAGCATTGGCATCGGCATTGGAATCGGCCTGGGCGGCACACCCCTTGCCTCCGATTCAGAGAGCAACCTTGAGGCGCCGCCGAAGAGCAACAGTCTGACCGACTTGACTCCTGCACAGCCCACGACCCAGAATCCGATTCCGACACAGACACAGACGCCGAGCCAGTCCCACAATAATAACAAGCAGATAACCAACAATGGACAGGCCGTTCCTCCAGCACCAGTAGCAGTAGAAGCATCAGCACCAGCATCAGCAGCGGGAACAGCTGCAGCAGCCACATCACCACAGCCCGCAAACAAAACGGGACAGACTGCCGCAGCCAATGGTAATGGCAATGGCAACGGCGTCCTGGCCGACGATGAGGAGGGAGAGGCGGAGGACGAAGAGGAGGAAGAACTGGACGAGGATGAAGAGAATGAGGCGGAGCTCGAGGCAGACGAGAGCAACAGCAGCAACAGCATCGCGAGGGATAGCAAACTGCAACAGCTGGCGACGAACAAAGCGGCAGAGACGGTGGCGTCAGCGGGAGCCACCGATCCGGCGCCAGCCATCGGCCAGAAGCGCACAGCCCTGCACTGTGAGATGGAGCTGAATAATGCCGGTGGAGGAGTTAATGTAGGTGTCGGCGTTGGAGTTGGTGAGAAGTCGCCGGAGTTAAAGAAACTGCGCAGCGAATGAGGCGGAGGCGAGGATACGAAAACGGATACGAATACGGTAGCCAAAACGGAAACGGAAACTGAAACGGGGATCGGTTCGCTTTGGTTCGGCTCGCCGCGTATCCGGTGGAAAGACATATGTATGTAGTGCAGTTGAGTCGACATAGAGACATAGAGCAACATTACCTACACTTTACCACAACAACATTCAAGAAATTGTACTATTAAGCAACTAATTATACATACATATAATATATTATATATATATATACAACATATAACGAGACGCAAACACACCCCCACACACAACACAACACCCTCATACACGCCACACAACGCCACATAGAGAACAGAACAGACAGATCAAAGCAAATGAGAATAGGAGATCCCGATCCAGCAGGCAAAACCACAGAGACATTTTAATAGCATAGGAAGGAAGGAAGGAAGCGCGCCAAGATAAAGAATTTGAATCTGAATCCGAATCAGAGTCATAAGAAACAGAAGAATCCGATCACGAAACCAAGCAGAGAGTTCAGAATGCAGCGTTAACGTAACGTAATATTATAATTGAAACGAAAAGCAAATAACTATAAAGACAAAATCAGATGCAAATCGATATTTTTACACAGTCAAAATGAACATTTAAATATAAAAAAATTTACAAATGCCGCAGTTGCCCACTACATACAAATAAAAAAAAACAAAATAAAAACAAAAACAAAAACGACAAAAAAAATCTTAAACTGATGAAAAAAGAAAACAATAATTATAATAAAAGCCGAACATTAATTTATATACCTAAGTATTTAAATTCAACAATAAATCAAAACTTGTCGCATATACAACAACCTCCCCTCCGCCCCGCGCTCTCTCCCCCTCTCTCTCTCTCTCTCTCGGACAGACACTCACAACTCACAACAAAAACAACACAAACACACCGCACATACAACAATCGGAAGAAACAAAACAAAAGCAAAACAACAACTCATTTCAACACTAAGAAATTTTTGTGGTCGTAATTGTAATAATATAATTTATATTTTATGTGTACAACCTTTTTTTTTAACTATACATATACTGAATTTTTTATAATTTATACGATAATCACTTTTCATTTTATTCCCACGAAAAGGCCGAAGTGCAGACATAAGAACACTGCATCTTAGCTGCACCTCGGCGCGCGCTGGTCCGGACCGACCGATCTCCGGGTTTTTTGGACACCAAACAGGAGTGCTTTTCACGTATGTGTCCGTATAACCCGCAGATCGGTCGGGTTCCGAAAAAAAAAAAAAAAAAAAAAAAAACCATCTCAAAATTATAATCATTTTTATTGTGTGTAGCATAAGTCCAAATAAAATGTGAAATATTAAGAGAACACGACATCAAACTGAAATGTGAAATCATCACCGAGAACATGTTGAATTCTAGGTTTGCGGGATCACAAATAGAGCAAAGACTTGAGCGAGTTTATCTCTTTGCATTTGGAAAGCCGTTACTTTTACGTACTGGTGCCGTCCTGTCAGGTAAGGATGTTGGTGGCGTCTGGCAACGCTGTCCTTTCAATGAGCGATATATCGAATAGCAAAGGTAAAAACGGTTTGAATTAGTTTCCCAAGCAATATATTTTTTGGAAATGCAATTTGTAGCCAGGTATTTTAATTAAAATGAAGCCTAAAATAGTTAAAGTAAATTTGATTCATTTTTGCATTCTTTTTATAATTATTTGTATCTACTCGTTTTGATTGCCCATCGATAGCTAGATATGCAGCTAGAACCCGGCCAATCGATACTATCGAGTGTGTCGGCCAGCACTAATATCAAAAGAAAACACAGAACGTACACAATTGCGAGCAATTTTGCAGCTACTCAGTGCCACGACGATCCGATTAGGCTAATCCATCGGGCGCCGCGCTAGTCCCTTCTCCTCCTCCTCCTTCGCCGCCGCTGACGCGTCCACGTCCGCGCCCGAGTTCTTAATTGGAGTCAGCCGAACGAGCGGCCAGCAGCTTGAAATTAGCGAAGCAGCAACCGCCCCCCCTCCCTAAATAATTTGAGTGCGTTCCTCCGCCCCGCTGGAGTGGAGAGGAGTGGAGTGCCCCCGACCCCGGCCACGACCATGTCAGTGGATCGCCTCAGTTGTCGCAGGCCAGATCGGAGTTAAGCTTGACTTGTCGGTCGCCTTGCATTCCAGCCTCCCTCCTTCCGTCCAGAGCCCAGCATCTAACACAGCTGCTGCAGCTGTCCTACAGTTGTTCCTATCGGCTCTCAGGCTTCCGATTCCAGAGTCCTGCGGCGCTCACCGCGTGACACCACCGCCGCCATGCTGCTGGTGCGGCAGCTGTTTGGGGCCTCGGCCAATTCGTGGGCCCGAGCCCTCATCATCTTCGTTCTGGCCTGGGTGGCGCTGGTCTATGTGTTTGTGGTGAAGCTGACCAGCACCCAGGGTCAGCAGGCGGCCGGCGAGAGTGAGCTGAATGCCCGGCGCATCTCACAGGCGCTACAGCTGCTGGAGCATACGCGTCAACGCAACGAGGAGCTCAAGCAGCTAATCGACGAGCTGATGAGGTATGTATGGAGGAGGGCCAAGCAATACCCATGCCAAGCACAATTACTTACAGTTGTGTCCACAGAAGCCGAGTTGGCTTCTAAAAAGAGAGAGTTCTGCCACATTTAAGTTTTTATACATATATTTTTTTTTATTTTTGTACGGAATTTAGGACTGTATTAATACATATTTTGTTGATAATATACTCAACAATCAAGTTTTGCGCTTGGTTTCGCCCACTAATGCATAGTATTCGAACGAAATTAGCATTAATTAGGAGTCTCCAGCGGCAGTCTTTGCTATGTGCGAATGTGTAATGGGTTAAAATCCACTCGTTTAATGTATTCCAAGTGTTTTTTCCAAGGGGAAAAGTCACAATTAATAAACTACTTGATTCTCTGAATGGAGAGTCAATAAGAAAGCGAAGCAGACATTATAGAAATACCCATATGTTGCCAGGCTAGCCTACTAGCAGTGCTATTATTCTGATTGCCTGCGATCTGTGACGATCTGTCATCGGCATTGGCCTGGCTAATTATGCATGCCCATTGACCAGAGATTACACGCCATAAAGAGCTTTGCCCGAGCTCACTACACGCCACACAGCATGCTCCCCATTGATGGCACTCTCCCCTCGCTCTTTTTGTTTTATATTTCAGTGACCAACTGGACAAGCAGAGCGCTTTGAAACTGGTGCAGAGGCTGGAAAACGATGCCCTCAACCCGAAGATGGCGGCGGATGTTGTTGGTCCGGAGCCAGAGGCAATGTTCGAATCGGCGCCCGCCGATCTTCGCGGTTGGAATAATGTGGCCGAGGCTGTGGCAGCTGGCAACGATCTAATGGAGGCTGATCACGGCGAGTTTGGCGGCGGCGGCGGTGAGCCCAGCCTGGAGTATGAGTTCACGCGCCGGCGCATCCAGACAAACATTGGCGAGATCTGGAACTTCTTTAGCAGCGAGCTGGGCAAGGTGCGCAAGGCGGTAGCCGGCGGTCATGCCAACTCCGCCGATCTGGAGGAGTCCATCAATCAGGTGCTGCTGCAGGGAGCCGAGCACAAGCGCTCGCTGCTGAGCGATATGGAGCGGCTGCGTCAGTCCGATGGCTACGAGGCCTGGCGCCACAAGGAGGCGCGCGACCTGAGTGATCTGGTGCAGCGACGCTTGCATCATCTCCAAAATCCCAGTGACTGCCAGAATGCCCGGAAGCTGGTCTGCAAGCTGAACAAGGTGGGTTTTTCAATTCAGGAAGTGTCGGATTAGATCAAGTATGATGAGGAGAGTCTTATGTGGAGTGGATTATACTATGTAGAGTTCCTGGGAAGTGACGACGAGTCGTGTTTGCCGCTGAGATTAGCCAGAAAGTTGTCCGCTTAAGGCCCCGCATTAATAATTTATTTAATTAATTGAAACTAATTACTGATTAATTATTCATTTCCAATTATATACAGGGCTGTGGCTACGGCTGTCAGCTGCACCATGTGGTCTACTGCTTCATTGTGGCCTATGCCACCGAGCGCACGCTTATCCTGAAGTCGCGCGGCTGGCGGTACCACAAGGGCGGCTGGGAGGAGGTTTTCCAGCCGGTGTCCAACAGTTGCCACGACGCCGGCACTGCCAACACATACAATTGGCCTGGTAAGCCCAATACCCAGGTGCTGGTGCTGCCCATTATTGACTCGTTGATGCCGAGACCTCCGTACCTGCCGCTCGCCGTTCCCGAGGATCTGGCGCCGCGCCTCAAGCGTCTCCATGGTGATCCTATCGTCTGGTGGGTGGGCCAGTTTCTTAAGTATTTGCTGCGGCCACAGGCCCCGACGCGGGATTTTCTCGTCGCGGGAATGCGCAACCTGGGCTGGGAGCGTCCCATTGTGGGGTTAGTAGTTGCCTTTGGGATACTTAGAACACTTGTGTTATCATTTGCCTTGCAGGGTCCATGTGCGTCGCACGGACAAAGTGGGCACGGAGGCGGCCTGCCACAGCGTGGAGGAGTATATGACCCACGTGGAGGACTACTATCGCACGCTGGAAGTAAACGGCAGCAGCGTGGTGCGGCGCATCTTCCTCGCCTCGGACGACGCGCAGGTTATTGAAGAGGCGCGCCGAAAGTATCCGCAATATCATATCATCGGTGATCCGGAGGTGGCGCGCATGGCGTCCGTGTCTACGCGGTACACGGACACGGCCCTGAATGGCATCATTCTGGACATCCATATGCTCTCGATGTCCGACCATCTCGTGTGCACGTTCTCCTCGCAGGTCTGCCGTGTCGCCTACGAGATTATGCAGACGCTGTACCCGGATGCGGCGTACCGCTTTAAGTCGCTGGACGACATCTACTATTATGGCGGCCAGAATGCGCACAATCGCCGCGTCGTTATTGCGCACAAACCGCGCACGCACGAGGACCTGCAGCTGCGGGTCGGCGACCTCGTCTCGGTGGCGGGAAACCATTGGGATGGCAATTCCAAGGGCAAGAACACCCGCACCAATCAGGGTGGCCTGTTCCCCTCGTTCAAGGTGGAGGAGAAGGTGGACACCGCCAAGCTGCCGCTCTATCCGGGCGTTTAGTCGTTGCCAGACCGCCATCTTGTTGGTTGATCAAATCTGTGAATCTCTTCTGCCGCATTCCACCCGGAGTCATACCTGGTGCCCTTCGGTTGGACTCGAATTCGGAGACGCCGTCTCCAGAATCTCAACTAGATATCTCGCTCTCTCTTCAGCTCGCTCTCTTTGTGTTGTCCACAAATTTTCGACTTTTTGTGAGTGTCACTTCTTTGTATTTTGTATTTTGTATTTCGTATATCATATTTCGTATTTTTCTGTGTATTTTACTGTCTGGCCTCTGATCTGGCCGTTTTTGTACAAGTCTTTTTATTAATTAGTAAGTTGAAAGCCGAAGAAATTATGTTGACAAGAATATACATAAATATATATATATATATATATATATATATATAAATAAATTATATATAGGAGTGCATGTAGGTTCACTAAGCGCAATATAGTCTATCATCACCTGTAAAATAGTTGAAAAGGAAACGATGAACGCAAAAAATAAAAGGATTGGAAAACCCAAATCCGATTTAACTCAAGCGTCAATAGCAAAAATGATTAAAAAATAAAAATAGTAATGTTTTAAAAGGAAAATGTGTCTTTTGTTGTTTTCTTTTTTACGGGTCAAAAAAATTGCCTTACAAATGTTTAAAATTCACAAAGATATTACTTTTTTTTGTGAATTTTAAACATTTTAAAAGAATTCTTTGTAGATTTTAAACATTTTCAATTTTTTTAATTGTATATTTATGTCTTTTAGGTGACCTGAAAGAATATCAAATATTGGCTGAGATTTCCATTTGCATTATATATAAATTTTTATATATATAAAAATAAAATTGCTTAGCTAATTTTTGGCGACCTAATTTTTGAGAAAAAATATAAATTTAAAAAAATCTATTGCTCAGCCAAAAAAGGCATTGAATTCAATTCGGAAAGCTGTTCTGAATTAGTTTTTATACGGCTAAAATAATTAACAGTTAAAATATTACAAGTTTAAAAACAACTCTGAAAATCCTTATCCAATATCTACATACCTGATTTTTCCTTCACTTTGCAACTATAAGGCTCTCTACATTTTCAGCATTTAGTAAAGAAGTGACTTCAGGTGGCTGACCTCTAAAGTGTCACGTTTAATAAACACGGATATTTATCAATAATATAATATTATTTATAAATTGTTCACTGATTTTTAATGCGTGATTTTTACGACGGGGCATTTCGTTACCTGCGGGGTTAAGAACCGTCGTTGTCCGGCGCCGGTGAAAGTGCAAATTGGTACTGCGTGCCCTCGTGTTGATGAGTCAAGACCAAGTCCCAGCGCCAGCAGGAATTCCACGCCGAAAACAAGAAAATTCCCAAAAAAACAAACCGAAAGGGGCGCCAGTAAACAGAAAACGTGATAAGCTTCCCCTCGTCGAAGCAAAATAAACCGAGAATAATAATAACAAGAAAGGAAGCTAGCTTTCGTAAACCGATGGTGGTTATACCCTTGCAGTTTTAACAAAATACGTTTCATTTCAATTCGGTTTTGGTTTTTATTAGCTTAAAAATCAGCATTTTGAATTTTAAATATTTAATTTTTTAATTATTTTAATTTTACAAATTTTCTGGGAATTAAAAATTAAACAATTATTTCAGTTTTACTCAGATTAGCTCATCTTTGCTCTCCTGAGAAACCGACAACAATTAAGTGGTACTTTTAAAGTCTCTTGGAGACAACATGACCGCCAGGTGGCCTCCGAGAAGACGTCAATAAATTGTCCGTTTCTGCATTAAAATTGTGTAAAAATAATGGTTTGCTGCAAGGTAAGGCATAATTGGGACAACAACAATATATTTTCGACAACAGTATAATTACAACCACATTAGTCTTAAATTAAAAATGTATTTTTTATCTGCCAGATTGATTCGGCTGTTGATGCTTTTCAAGATTTTTGTTGTAAACTTCGGGCTAAAATTATAACACCCCGCCAGGGCATACAAATCAAGGGGCGCACGCGTGTGTGTTTGTGCATAAATAAATTAAAAGCTAATCGAGACGGGCGCACGCCTGTGGCTGTGTGTGTGCGAACTTGTAATTAAGTACTCAATGAACCGAGAGCCGCTGGGAAGTAAAAAAAAATACCAACAATAAAACAAGAAATAGCAACAAAAGCGGCAAAACAGGCTGGGGAACCGGAGAGCCCCGGAGGAGCCGGAGGATCGCTCAAACAAGGTCAAGCCGTCAAGCTTTGCTGTCGCGGATAAGCCGCTGCCCCTGGGGCTTTGGCTTCTCTGATAAGCGTCTCGCCCCCGGCTGCGTATAAAACATTGTCGCTGGAGCCACAACGACAGCACTTGCGGACCTGCAGCCTTATCGATCACATCGAGCACATCCCAGTTTTTTCAGTCTTCCTAATCCTCCACCCAGCACCATCACCAGGATGTCTCGTTTCACCGTTGCCGCTGCCCTTCTCGTCGCCAGCCTGATCCTTATCCTGGGCGGAAGCAACACCGCCCAGGCTGCCACGTCTCGGGTTAAGCTGGCCAATGCCGGTGAGTGAGAGCCAAAGATCTAAATTATTTTTAGGAAAGATTTATGATTATTAACCTTATGACTCTTGCAGATCATCCTGGCAAGTGCGTATTGGACACCAACACCGTTCTGTCGCCTGGTCAGAGCGGCAAGCTACCGGACCATCCCTGCGCCGGCGCCACCTGCCATTCCGATAGCCTTGTGATCATCAAGACCTGCCCGGCGGTTGCCCCGCCCAAGGGATGCAAGCAGCGCGACTTTGTCAACACCAATCGCAGCTTCCCCGAGTGCTGTGAGCGGGCCTACGACTGCAACAAGCACATCTAGACGGGATTGAGTCCTTGAGTGTGTTCTCCCTCTTTTTTTTTTGTATTTTTTTGTTTTTGTTTTTATTTATTGTGTATACTACAACATAACAATTAAAATGTAAACGCTTAGCAATACAATTAAATAATTTAATAGAATCATTAACAGAAAATACATATGCATGTAGGCTTGCTCGTGTGGGTGTAGTTGGGCTTGTATAGTGGGCCAAGGATCTGTCTGCTCCTCTGGCTGATTCGGATTCGGATACGGATTCGGCTCGTTCTGGCTCGTTCGGGTAATACATAGCTCTCTCTATATGTAATATATGTATATATAACTGATGAACGATGGGCTGGCATCGGGCAAAAAAAAAAAACAAAAAAAAACTAACGATTATTTCGATTATTTAAAAAAAAGGAAAAGGACTAAACGAAATCACAAGGACAAATCTGCCGGAAGAACCTCTAAACATATCCATATATGTTTTGTTTTGATCCTGGCCTAACCACACAGAACGAGGCGAATCCCTCCTAGTTGGAAACCCGAATCCTTTTTGGTGTCTCTCCTTTTTCTTATCTTTTTCTCTTGTGGGCGCAGCAGCAATTGCAATTTCCTGTGTGTGTGTTTCTTAGTAACTTTTGCTAATTCGTTTTGTTTCCTCCTTCTCGGTTGGATTTTGTGTGTCCGTGTCCGTGTGCTTGTGCAGCTCATCAGCGACCAGGACACCGGCTCCCGCCTTCTATCGGCTGAGATTGTTGATGTAGAGCGCGTGGAGCTCGGTGCGCGGAGTATTCTCGAAGAGGGCGGCGCGGTTCTGTCCCTCGCCCTTCTTAACCCAGTGTCCATAGACACGGAAGGCACAGCCATCGATGACCTGGAATGAGGAGGAAGTCGAATAAGGTTTAATTAGTTAAAATTGCCTGGTGAAAATGGTTTTTAGAATTAATCAAAGCCATCATATATTTTCGATTTTTCATATCCTTTGGGGCTCTTATTTAATCGATAAGTTGTCGATAAATTTGATAATTGTGAATCGTAGCCCTATAAAAATTTTTCTTTTTTGAATCAGAGTAGAGGTGGAAATAAAATCGGTTAGTGGATGCTTTTGGATTCGGCAATCGATTTGTATCGAAACAAGCATTTTTGTAGCTCTGATTTCGTAGTCGTTGAAGATTAATTATCCTCCTATTTAATCCTCAATGACTACAAAATCAGTGCCACAAAATTGTAGAGAGTCAATTCTGAATGAACTATTTTCGATTAAAAATCGATTAAGGAAATTAAATCAGTTTAAAAATATTTATATAATATTTATATAAATAAAATATTTATATTTAATTAAATTAAAATATCAATTTTAGGCTGTTTTTAATATTTGATTTTAATCAATTTTACTCTCCTAAACTTTTATAAATTATCGAAGCCTGGAAAATCGATTTATTTTCCTCTATATTGCTTAGGCAGGACCATGCTCAGATTGATTATTTATACGTAAGTTCTAATTCTGAATTATCCCGGGTTCCCGGACTGATACTCACCTTGCGTAGAACCTTGACGCGATACGGATCCCGGATAGCCTCCTCAACGTGCAGCGGCTCGGCGGTATAGCGCAGGCGCCGTATCCGGATGACGGCCCGTATCACGAGTATGGCGAATTGGAACTTTTTGCGCGCGTTGAAGCGACTCTGTTTGCGCAGCTAAACGTGAGAAAAGGAAACGGAGCAAGAGCAGATGCAGCTGGATTAGATGGGTCTTGTAGTTTTTTGCATCGATATATTTTTTGTTTTTGTTTTCTTTTTTTTTTTTTAATATTGTTTGGCTTTGTGTTGGTTAGGTGCACACGCCACGGGTTAGCGTTAACAGGGGGTTAGCGTCCATCTTGTGTTAACGGTTAGCAGTTAGCGTTTAATGGCGTTAATGGTTACTCCTTGGAGCAAGGACTACAACCGGAACAACAAGAAAACATAGATCGGCATCGGGGACAGCAATAATGGATGTGTTTTTTTCGAGTGCCCGAGTGTTAGTCTGATTGTCGGAGTTAGTTTACTATCGAATAGTTAGGGTTCGATGGGTGAGTGTTAACTGTTAACTGGCGGTTAACTGGTAGTAGTAGTAACTTCCAAGCGTACGAAATATCGGGTGTGTGTGTTTTGGTTAGTCGGGGTTAGCTGGGGTTAATTACAGGTGAGATAGACACAAACATTCACGCTATTTACGGATTACCAACTATGGAAATATGCGGATACACGAGGAGTATTTCGATCACATTGACACGAGTAGATATATATGTGTGGGCATGGTGGATGGATGGATATATAGTAATTATAGTAATAGTAATAATACTGTATGCAAATCTATCTCAGTTTGACTTGGTTTACTCACAAGGGAGTCTCCACAACACCGACTTATAGACACACATCTTATAAGGGCGTTGAGACTCTGACAATATAGAGAACATGACACACAAACAAAACGTGTTTAACATCATCAACAGAGGAGAAATTAAACAAAATAATCCGTCAGTGAATCGATTTTGGCGTTATTTTCATAATATTGTAGATACGATTACAGAGATAACAGATAACAAATGGCAGATGCACCCAAAGAAATGCAGCTTGGCATTTGGCTAACCTTGAACCTTATCATATTTTTGTGTGACTTTCTTTGGGTGCTATCTATGTATATACGCAGTGTGGAATGTGGTTTGGGGTTAGTCTTAACTAGGACTGGCATGCAGTTAGCCTTTAGGGTTAGATCCTGGACAACGACAGTGCACACTGAGGGGATTAGAGGAAAAGAGAGAGAGAGTGAGAGATGAGCCACCGACCTACACAGATGGTGTCTAAGGCTACGAATAATACTACACAGAGAGTACGCTTATACGGCGAAAGCAAGTCTACTACATACAGTTCTTGTAAATATCATCCAGTTCACCCGAGAGATATGTACTAGAGAAAGGTGCATATAATACAAACATTGTGTTTACTCGCTATGACATGACTAAGTGTCAGCTATAAGGAGATACAATAATAGTAAAGTAATAATAAAGTAATACGTGTTGTAGTGCGTTTGAATAATTTTGGTCTTAAGTCTAATTGGAGGCGGATGGATAGATGAATGGAATGAATGGATGGTTGGATAAGGGAAAAGCATTGGGGAAATCCACGACCACGAACCGGACACGGATTCATATCCCAAGGTCTTCGACACTCGCCCAATATGAGCGAGAGGGCAGTGACAGAAAGAGAGGGATAGAGAAAGGGTGAGATGTCGAGTGCAGCTTGACTCTAAAGTTGAATAAATGAATGTGGTGACTTCTTTTGTATGCTATAATCGAATCAACTAAAAGCACTAGAAATTAAACGGTAATCAGTGATCATTAATCATACGTGTGGCATCTAAATAAAACTATATAGAGCCCCGCAAGGCGGCTGTCAAGAAAAGCCAAAGAAACGATCAAAAAAACACAAGAAACAAGGAAATTTAACAAATGAATTTAAAACAAACTAGAAAATAAGGCAAAACACATTAAAGTAGTCTTTGTTGATGTAAAAAAATATTATTTATCTTTCTTTAAGAAATGTAAACTTAAGAACCTTTCAATAATAATGGTCTATATTTTTAAAATATTCCAAAATGTTTAATGAATATCTCCCTTACGTTACAATCAAGTTCTTGGACTTTTGAGTTCGTTTCCCTGGCATTTCCCGGCCACTGCCCTGGGGGCCAATTGTAATGGAAAAGAAAAGCAAAGAAAATCAAAGGAAAACCTGCCTGCACTGGGATTGGTGCATGGACCAAGTGCTTGCCAACGGCGGCTGCACTTTCGTAGCCATTGCCATTGGTATCTGCATTGACATCGCCACCTGGCTGCACCTGGGCCAGCGACTTTTGCGGATGGGGATGTGGATGCAGTTGTGGTGTCTGCTGGTGGTGGGGTTGCTGCTGCTGCTGCTGCGCCTGTGCCAGTGCATGAGCCTGTGCCTGAGCGTGTTGCTGCGACTGGAGGAACTGCTGCTGTTGCTGCTGTTGCTGGGGCTGCTGCTGATAGTAGACCGTAGCCGTAAGCGTTTTGTATGAGGCGGATGTGGAGGCGTTTCCAGATGTGCTGGCAGAGGCCGGAGAGATGTTGGATGCTGAGGCACAGGAGGTGGCCATCGAGGCGGCATGGCAGGCATCGTCCAGTGGCCCGTCCCGCATCCGGTTTGAGGAATAGGAGCTCTGCGGCGCACAGTACAGGTAACCGCTGTTCAGGGCCATTGATGAGGAGCCAGCCAGGGAGAAGCGACTCGAGTGGCCGGCAGAGACAACTGGCGGCGCCGGATACAAATGCGGATGCCGGCGATCACCCATTAGCACCTGGCGTTCGCGATTGAATAAGAGTAACGAGAGGGAGTCGGGTTCGGGGTCGGAGGAGCGGCAGAGGCAAAGGCAGATATGCAGGCAGAGGCAGCAGCAGGTTGGCGCGGAAGAAATTAAAATTGGTTGGTTATCAGTTATAAACGGGATATTATAAATAGTCGGGATACTTAGGAGGACTCCTCGACTTACGAACTAGACATGTGTATGTGTAGGCCTTAAATATATATAGGACTTATATGCACCTTGATTGGGGTTTATCCAGGGGCACCCCCATACCTTGGATATATCCTCTCAAGGTTTAAGTGAATTTTGGAATATCATACAATGTTTCAAGACCGATTTTCTAAGATTTCCTAAATATTTTCTTGGAACTTTAACTTTGAGAAATCCTAAAGGTATAGGAGTGCCACCGTTCTCATATCTCACACTGCCTTACTTTCGCTTACTTCATCTTCTAATTTTCAATGCACTTGTTCATGCATGGAACATGGATTTCGGGGGGTCTGGGGACTGGGAAAAGGGGACCCTGCTAGAGTTTTTGCTTATTGCTTTGCATGCAGACACAGAGATTAAACTTAACGACGGAATATGAATCGAATATGGCTGCACACACACACACACACACACGCACACACACAAACGTGTTATCGGTTTTAGTTATCGGCAATCGGTCGATTTTTGTACAAAACAATTTATGTGTATATAAGTAGGGTCGAGGAAAGGAGGGGCGAACGAACTACAAACAATAACGATCGAACGAACATCAAGTACAACGGAATGGGATTAAAGGGGAATGGGTTTTGGTTATCATCATGGGGCATGGGGCACGGGCATCATCATCATCGCGCAATCGCAATCGTTATCGTCAGGCAAAAAATAAAAACGAAAATCGGATGCAATAAACGAAGCATAGGTTAGAAGTTATTATGCTTAACGCTTCATATATATAGTATATGGTGTGTATACAAGTAATATGTATATATATTGAATATAGCTGGGTTAGGATAGTAGGTCGGCGCACATAACGAAACAGAACAGAATGCAACGGAACACAGACACGAACGAATGCTGGTGGGCCGGCAGCAGTGTTGCATGGACATGAGTTGAGTTTAGGGACTGCCGGCCCCATCGGTTATCATCGATCTTCGATCGTTCGGATTATCGTTATTATAGCGATTACGGCTCCGATAAACGGAGACACACACACAGCACAGAGAGTGAGTGAGAGAGAGAGAGATAGGAAGAGAGACAGAGAGAGAGAGATACTTGGGGGATTGGGTTAGTCCGGGAACAGTTCGTTACCAGTGCGATCTCAGTGATGCGACTCATTCGCCGGGACTTGGTCGACAGGCTGCGCTTGAGGCCATCAATATTCTGCTCGAACAGCTATCGATTGCGAATGTATCGCGGTATCGTTATCAGTATCAGTTATCGGAGCGAGCGAGTGTGTTCGTTATCGTTCGTTTTCGGTTTTTTGTTTAAAAATTAATTGTTTCGATTTTCGATATAGATTTTGATCGTTTTCGTATATGTAAGGAAAAGAAGAGAGAAAATGTTTGGTATAATAAAAAATAGTAATCGTAAAATTAATATAAAACGCACAACACTAAACGGAAAAGAGGCGTGATGCTAAATAAACCCAAAAACGGGGAAATCAAAAAGAGACTCGGCTGGACATGGATCCTCCATAGATCTCACGGTTGGTTTGGACTAACTACGGGAGCTTACGGCTTACCCTAACCAAATTATAAGTCATAATATTCGTATTTTGATAGGCAGTAACATGGTGGGGAGAAGCAGTTAATATTAGGCTGTTGTGAGTGGGTGTGAGTCACAGGTGGTGTGTTCTATCCATCAGAGTGTGTTGTGTTTTGTTTTTTGTGTGTTTAGAGACATTTGCAGGGGGGGTTGTGGATTGGTTTGTGTGTACAAGATCCCCCAGATCCAGACTAGCTTCTATACGAAAGGACTAGAGATACTGCTGCTGGGACTGGGCCTAGGACGTCGTGGCATTCGACTTGAACTTGAACTTGAACTGAGTTTACTCCCGTAGAGGTGCTAGAGGTGGTTGTGGTGTTGGGGATCGTGCTTCGACAGCAGCCAGTACTTCCGGCACTTACCATTTGGTTGAAGAATGGATGTCTTAATACTTCCTTGACGGTGATACGTTGCGCAGGATCAACGACTAGACATTTTCGTATCAGATCCTTGGGATCCTCTGCAAATAATAATATTGATTACCAAATGGTCTTTCCTAACGGTTCAAGGACCCACCTGAAATATCTGCCCACTCGGGCGAGGTGAAGCTGTATTTGCCCTCCATGATATTCCGCAGCATGACCATCTGTTTGCGGTGCCAAAAGGGCGGACAGCCGACGAGCAGCGTGAACATGATGACACCGCAGGCCCATCTGAAAGGGTGAAATGGAAAAAAAGGTATCAACTTTTGTTTCGCTGAACCCAAAGAAAGCAGATCCGAGTGGGAATCCACTTCTGCATTTGTTACTTATTTATTGCTATTATTGCTGAGACCATGAAATGAGTATCCCAATGGGAAGCTTTCGCAGCAAATAAATAATTTAAGGCAACGGAAAAATAGTTGACGATATCGGAACTCATCAGGTTTCAGATTAACTGGCCAAAGCTTGTGACTCACTCGAAAAAATGCAAACAAAACAACAATCTGATGAGCGTAGTTAAAAATAATAAACAAGGCTTGTTGACATTGATTTTAAGGAAGCAATTTAAGTGCCCCGGCAAAAGTGTATTCCCCGTTTCCATAACTCATATTTCCATTAATAGTTGCTTCTTACATATCCACTTCCTGGGAGTAGCCGGGCGATCCCTCGAACATGTTGCACTTGAGTGTCTCCGGCGCCAAGTAGCCCGGCGTTCCGCACAGATCTGCAGCGAAAGAAGGGGTTTTACTTAAGCAAACCTAATGGAAGCGCATCGTCGCTCACCTGTAAGTTTCTCGCCTTCCTGCAGCTGCCTGGCGAAACCAAAGTCCGTGATTTTCACATTGTGATTCTCGTCGAGCAAGATGTTCTCGGGCTTAAGGTCGCGATGAACGATATTCTTGGCATGGATGTACTCGACGCCCTCGAAAATCTGACGCATAATTGTGCGTGTCTTCTTCTCGGAGAGCGTCACCACGGAGGTCAGATAGTCGAAGAGCTCGCCTTTGGGACAGAGCTCGAATACGAGGAAAACAAATGCATCTGACTCAAACACGTCCTGCAGATCAACTGGAAACAAATTGGGAGTTAGGCAAAGAGGAGCAAAGAGAAGGGCTTGAACTCACTTATGTAGGGATGACCCATGACCTGGCGCAGGATTGAGATTTCTTGTCTGGTTGCTTCGAGCATATGATATGGATTCGTCTCGCCCGCTTCCGTGGTGGCGCCCAGGTCAATGATCTTGGCGGCGAACTCCTTGCCCGTCTCCTTCTCGATGCACCGGCGCACGGTCGAGCTGATGCCCCTGCAAGATCAAGATCAACAAAACTGCTGCTGGATCACTTGGCTTTGGCATGATCATCGTACGATTTATCTAATCGCTGTAATTGTAATTGCCCATGTTTTTCGCTTAGTCCCCGTATTTGCTTAGTTCCCGCTGGTAAAGTCGGATTTATGGAGGATGTAAACGAGGCAATGACAGAGTAGAAGGAGAAGGAGGAGGAGGAGCGGCAGCCGGCAGCCAGGCGCCGCTCCATTCCCATTCCCATTGCTCAGGCGGAAATGAGGCGCCGCACACGTATGGCCATGTGAAGAGCTTCTTGGCAGGCTGACTCACTTCGCACCACACCATTGGCCCCAAAAATGCAGAGCCATAAACAAAGCTTACATTACTGCAAGCGTAGCAGTAAGCGGGTATCGGACCACCAGCTGAAGAGCTGCCTCATTATATATTGTGTAAGCTTTTACAGCTACGCCTGCTCCTCTCACCTGCCCAATATCTCCTTGGGCTCATACTTGGCGTAGAAGCCCTTGGCGGCATCCTTATCGGGCAGCAGGTCATCCTCCTCGTCCTTGGCCATTAGATCCAGTGAAATGTTGCCGGTTACTGTGTGCGGCTGCCAAGCAAAAAAAGACCAATATCTGTGCAAAAAAAAAAGGAGTTTCATTAATAACTGAAAGGATTTAAAAAAAGAATAAGATAATCATATCTCATATCTTGATTTTACTATAGTTGTGTGGGTTTTAACTTGGCCAAAAGACTCATTTTGTAATCTATGCAGAAATGAAAGAGAATTGATTAAAGTAAACAAAAGCAGTTCCAAAATGTGCTTAAAAAACAAGTGACATCTCTGTAAATGCTTCAAAAAAAAAAAAAAAAAAACAGGGGATTTATTAATAAAATTTGAAGCAGGTTTAATAAGGTAAAATGAAATTAAAGTAGTATAATTAGAGGTTCATTATAACTTCCCCAATCTGTAGCTTTAGCCATTTTGGCAAAGAATTTAAAGGGTATTTAAAAAAGTTCGAATAAGATAATGTTTTAAGCTACAAACTGTTTAGGTTTCATTCAAAAAACTTAACTTATAAAGTGTATCAAGCTGAAACTTTAAACTTTATAATGAGAACTAATAAACCTGCTATAATTTTCGGCGTTAACTTGATGATAATTCAAGAACTAATTATAGAAAGGATTTTTTAGATAGATATATATTAGAAAGTAAACATTGGAACCAGAGTTACGGGTGAATTTTATTGATATGATATTTCAAGACCTAAGAATTGAATCAAATTGAAATTAGATTGAATTGACATTTACTCAATAAAATTCTCTTTCAAAAAGAGGTAGAAAAACAACTGTATTAGCAATTTCGGGGGGAAGACTGTCAATACAAGGATTATATGATTATCTTAATCTGAATCAAGATCCGCTACTTGATGACGATGTGATGGGATGGCGGCTGATTCTGATTCCGATTCTGATGCGATGCGAGCGATCGTTTAAGGCGTTGCTATTTTTATAACGAACGGAGGAAAAGGAACGGACGTGCGGCGCGCGAGTGAATCTCTGCGACTGAGAGATTCTGCCGACTTGTCCACTTGCCGACTTTCGGTCTTTCCTTTTAATTACCAAGTGACGCCGCCGCTGCTGCTGCCTCCGCTGCTGTTGCTGGTGCTCCGGTTTGATGTGGCCTGTATCGGTTAAGTTAACTTTCGTGGCTGCCCGCCCGCTGCTCGACGGTGGATTTTTGAATTGGAATTGAAATTTGAAGTGGAAATGGGAAGACGTCGGCACACTATTGGCGCCGCTCTCGCGCGCTCTCTCTCTCTCTCTCTTGTCGCTGCTCCTATTCCGATTCGGATGCCGCAGCTGATTTAATTAATAGCCAACTACAACAGAAGACAGATCGATTTGAGTAACTGGCAGAGTAACAGAAATTAAATCAAAAATAATAGAATTAACACACACACGCACACACAGACACCGACAACGACGGTCGGATGAACGGGGCGATTACACAACTACAACGGTTTGTTTTGATTGTATTTCATCGGATCGATTGTTGTTGCATCGCCACGCATTTTATGCCATTCCGCTTATCACTCGCCGTTTAGCCATTGTTGTTGTTGCTCGCTGGGAGTTGTGTTTTGGTTTTCCTCGCCCACGCACACACACGATTAGAAAGGGAGAGGGGTTGATGTGCTGCGCTGTGCATCAGGTCCGATTTGCTTTCGCCCTCTCTTTCCCACTTCCATCCCCATCTTCCTTTGCAATCACATACACGCACACTGAGACGCACTCACTCACACACACACATCCATCTAAGCGGGTACATTTCAATGTCAACTAAAGGTTAGTAGTACGCTTTTTGGCGCCCGCACCGCCCCAACACATACACGTGTGGCCGCTCTGGTGGCTGGTCGGTTGCAACGCCGTCTCTCGCATAACTCCACTCTTGATATTATCGGATTAAATTGCAAATGCAACAAAAACCCCTGTATTTTTGACACAATCACAAAACTGCCAGCAGTGTGACCAGGTAGTCGGCCCAACAAAAATGTACACAAATGTCAATACATCGATATTTTCTTAAAATATATATTGGTTATCAGCTTTACATATATCGATATATTCTTTTAAAATTTTTAATAAAATTATTGGTGGAAACAACAATTAAAAACACAAAAATCAACTTAATGCATTAACATTTTAATGATTCGTTTACTTCAATACTTTGCCATTTGTTCTTTTATTTTCATGATGTAACTCCCTATATAATTTTGAAAACATTTTGCAATTTTTTGTTTATCAAAAATCATATTAAAAAAAATTAACTTTGTTTAGAATGTATTAAATTCAATTCGGAAAGCGGGTTTGTCTTACTTTTTATAAGGTTAATAATCAAAAGGTTCAAAACTTGGATTAGTTATTAAAACATTACATAGATGGCGTTGGTCACTGAATTCATGTTTTTTAACCGCCAAATTCAAATTTAAAAAGACGACAAGTTCCCAATGTTTTTAATCTTAAAAAAGCTCTTGCTCTAGGTGTAGGGCACAAGTGTTTGTTTGCTTTTAGACTCCCGTCTTGGAATTTAGTCCCCAGCCATGCCTTTCCCACTCACTTAAATATGTTTAATCGACACACGATCAATTTGATGTTGATGTATATTATATTTATTTACGGAATACAATTGTAAAAAATATTTAATAAGCGCTAAATGTATGTATAATAATTATGAGGCAAATGTTACAATTTTCTTGTTTACTTTCTTCCGGATGGGGTTTCGCTTTCTGTCTGTATCGATTTTGCTTTTGTTTTGTTTTTCGTTTCTGCTTTGTGTGGAAGAAACGTGGAAGGGTCACAAAGAAATGGAAATGGAGGAGCCAGCAGCGGATGATGGATATCAGCTCACATATCCGGGGGCCAGATCCTGGTCGTACATGATTATGTTGCCGTAAATGGAATACAAATACAAATACAAATGGGCGGCGACGAGTAAATGCTCGTTCGTTCGCTCGTTGCCGATTCAGCGTGTGAATACACATTACAGTTATTCATAATAATATTAATTATATAAATTTATGAAAAAAAAACACATGTATATATATATATATAAAGAAGAAGACAGACACACACGCACAAACATACAGTGCTGCTGTTGTTCACATACACATCATCTCGGTACTAGGCCTACGAACTTACAAGTAATATCTATATTTATGTGTATATACGTATCGTTGCGGTATCGTGTTATCGTATCTCGCCACACTTGCACTACGTTGATTCTCCTCCGCTCAACCGAGGAAGTCGCAGACGATATTTCACCTAAGCGCACGCTTTTCAGTAAGGTATTGGGAATGGGAACGGGGGTACACGGGAATAAAGGACTCGGATTCGGACTCAGTACAGCAGATCCGTCTTCTGTGTACCCTCGCTGTATACAACACTCGCAGCGCCCGGCGTCGCCGTCAGATGGTAGTCATCCTCTTCCGCGCCCTTCTTGCAGGATGCCGTCTCGTCCTCGTCCTTGATCAGTCCCTCGCCGAGGCCAACGAGACTGCCGTTGCCATTGAACGTCAGACGACCGCCGCTCGCTGCTCCTCCGGCCGGACTGCTGCTGCCGTTGCTACTGTTGTTGCTGGTGGGACTGTGGCTGCTACCGTTGCTGCTGCCGCTGCTGCTGCTCTCCGGCAGCGCGTACCGCGTCACGCCCAGCTGGAAGAGGCTGTCCATTGGCGAGGCCTTCATGGGCGTGTAAAAACCCAGTGCCGTGGAGCCTGCAAGCATTTGAAGCGAGCAATTAGTAAAGAGATCTTGGTGGACCATTCAAAGTTCAATGAGCAAAAAGGGGTTAGTAGTTACAAAGGTAAACGAGTGGCACCGAGTCGGGAAACTATATAAAATATAGTCTTATATGATATATATCATAGTCGTGTTTGGGGGTGGTGGTGGTGGATTGGTGGTGTGAACTGTGTGGAAGAGGATGCGTCTGGGTCTGGATCTGGTTCTGGATATTTTCAGGCAAATGAAAACGAAACATGAGCTGGAGCGTGGAGCGTGGAGCTGGAGCATGAATAATGAGATGATGAAGAGGAGGTGCCGAGAGTGGTTGGTACAATATCGTGTGGATTCTAATCTGGGGTTAGTTACCTTAATGTTAAATATGAATTGGCGATTAGTTTTGACTGCCCAGCGGAGCAGGCAGAGCAAGTGCACTGGGTTAGAGGTGTTTCTTTGTGGCTTTCTGTTACTGTTTCGCACTTGATCGCTTATAATCGGGTTATCGGGTTTAGATTATCGGACTATCGGGTTACTATTGGGTTATTATCGTTTGCTTTTGATTTATGTATTATTTTTGAATTAGTTTTAGATTTTAGTTCGGGTTCAGCGGCTGTTGTTTAATTTATTATCGGTTTTGTTTTGGTTTGGGTTATTTGCCTTTTGCTTGTTTCGTTATCATAGATTTTTTGATGATGGTATAAACAATAGATATTATTTCAACGCTCTTTTGCTTATGTATTCTGTTACATTTAAATAATATCTGCAAAAAGAAATTAGTATGAACAAAAAAATAGAAATGGAAATAGGAATAGAAGTTGAATAATAGAATAATAGAGGGAACGCAATGCAATGCAACGCAAACAAACAAAGCGAGAGCGGTGCGATGATCAACAAAGGTTGTATGCTGCTGAAATGAAAACCACAGGGGAATGGGGATCGGATCATCGCAACTACATAGCTACGGCTGCGAGCTGCAATTCAATACATGCCCCTCCGCCCAGCTCAGCTGCATACCGAGCTAAGCTAGACTCAACCCAAACTATAAACTATATAACTATGACTATCTGACTATAACTAAAACGAAACAGAAAACGAAAACTATAACTAAAACAAAAACTAAACAAAGCAAACATACACATAAGCACACATCACATAAATATATTATTAAGCTAAGCACACACAGCAGGTGCGCCAAGTACGTAACTAAAATGGGGAATTTGTAGTCATCACAGCCAGGTTTGGTTTACACCTTAGATTTATTATACTAAACAGAAAGTCTACTCTGCTATTTAATATCTATCTGGTGGGAGCCTAGTCTATATTATCCCTAGAGAACTATACATGGAGAGAATTAAAAATGGCATATTTTGAATCCTCTTGTCCGTCATTTTTCTTGTTCATCTATCCGTCTGGCTGTCTTTCTCTTTTTGTCTCTTTGTCCACTTGTTCCTCAGTCCGCTTGTTCATCTTTCTAATTGTTCATTTATCCGTTTGTTCATCTCTTCTTCTGTTCATTTGTACGCTTGTCCGTCTGCATGCTCACATATAATTTACCACATAATTCTATATTTCAGTTTAAAATATAAGATTTCAGATTTAAGGTCACAAAACTTTGAGAAAGCGAGTAAACTAATGAATGATAATAATTAATATTAATAATAGGCACCATATTTTGGGGAATTTTCATATTAGAAAAATTTCTAGACAGAGTTGTGATGTTAGCCTTTAGTTTTAGGGGATTAATTTACAGCACAGCTCAATAATGGTATAAGAACACTTAAACATTCGCAATTATTTTCCCATTTCGAATTCATAGCTCTCCATGATTCAGGGTTCCGCATAAACACGAGGAAGTGTTGTCACTGCATCTGGGCATCTCTTTGCATCTCTCTGCATCTATTAATCGATATTAGTCGTGGTGTGTTTCGAGTGTCCGGTTGCCCCAGTGTTTGTTGTTGTGTGTGTTTGGTGAGTGTTCGGGTATTGGTGTTTAGTGTTCATTACTTATTGTTTCCCGGCTTCCGCATTAGTGAGTCGGATATGTACGGGTTACCACTTTACACTTTACAGCTTTATAATTTAGCGGCCATCACAACAAACAAGCCAGACCAGTTTTGGGAGCAGAGCGGAGAGCGGAATCGGGGTCACCAAGAGATATATATATCCAGGGGGGCTGTTTCTGGGGAATGATGGGTATACTGATACTATAGCCTATAGTTATAGTTGTAAACATATAGTAAAGCTTGGGCAATGCCTACGTTTCGCTGGCTGCAGGGATTCGTGGATCGGTGGCGTTGGCGGATGCGGATACAGATACGGATACGGAGTCTAGAGCCCATCAGACATAGTAGAGCGTGGTGCCTGGAATGCGTGTCTGGAGTAGGGCGGTGCTGGCATTGGACAAAGCCAGCGACGACGGCAGACTTGGCCGACGACGTCGCTGCTGCAGTTGCTGCTGTAGCTTCTGGAGATCTGTGGCCGGTGCCTGGAGCTGGTCACTCTCGCCACTACTACTACTGCCTTGACTCCTCCTCCTGGGTGTTTCATATTTACTCTGCGGCTGTAGATGCTCCTTTGGCTGGCGATGGTGCTGGTGCTGCTGATTGCCCAACGTAAAGGAGGCAGCCTTGCGCGGAGCTGGCGAGGATTTGGGTGCTGCGGCTGCATCATGCTGCAGGAAGCAGGCGTACTGCGGCTTCAGCAGCACCGATGGCCTGGCCCTACGCAGGCCCTGCTGTGGCTGCGGCTTCGCAGGGAGCTGGGGGCGCTGGTGGGCGGTTGTGGGGTCGATTGGGGCAGCGGCTTCCACACCCTCTGGCAATGGTAGTGTTGGTAGCGTTGGTTGTGCTGCTGCCGCTCTGGGTGGCGGTGGTGGTGGTGTGCCTGCTGGAGGTTCTGGCTGCTGTGGCTGTGGCGACTGTTGCAAGATAATACCCCTCCCTAAACTTGGGTAATCTGCAAAAATATGCGTGAGGCGAAATTGAAAGCCTTTCAGCCATGTCGTGACCCAGTAGTGGTTCGGAATTCGGTTTGAGCTTAGCTTTAGCATTTTTGGGTATCTTGGGGGGGGGACTTCAGTTCGAGAGCAAGAGCGTATATATGTTTATATAGTAGAAGAGCGGAGGAGGAGGAGGTGGTGGTGGTGGTTGGAGACTGCACCCACCTGATGAGCCTCGTCAGCCCGTTTAACCGGCGAAGCTGAGCGCCCAGGATGCCACGGAGCTTTGGCCACGAAGGACAGCAGCCATTGTTGGCCCCAGGCAGTATCCTGGGGCTACATTTGGGAACTGAGACTGAAGCAGAGGCTGCTGGATCGGAAATCAGAGCGGATTCAGAAACAGTTACGGACACGAAAGCAGCAGCAGGAGGGTGTTGGTCAGTGGCCCTAGCAGCGGCATCTGTAAATTGCAGAGACCTTGTTCGTTATACTATATACAATCTCTGACAGAGTTTGAGTTCGAATTCGGATTTGGATTCGAATTCGGATTCTTTGGATTTTTAAGGTAGCAGAGTCCACTGGGGTCTCCGGTTTCAGGGGTGGAGGTGAGATGGGAACGCACTGCTACTCCTTAACTGAGGAGTTACTCAGGTTACTTGGCCTTCTAAGTTTGTATCTCCCTTGGGTTAAGTGTTTCTGTTTCCATAAATCGCTTTAGTACAATATTTTACCTCTTGGATCATCTTTCCCCATGCGTTTAGGCAGGTAACTGGACTATTTCAAGTTTGTTTTCCTTAAAAATGATCTTAACAATGCCATTTGTTCTTGTTTTTGTTCCTTAGTGCTACAGATGTGTATATATGTGTTGAGGTTTGTCCTCCAGAACCTCCAATTAGAGCTGATCTTAGGTGCTTATTTCGAGTCCCCAGAAACAAAGGCAAACAAAAGTGTTAAACTCAACGAAACAAATAACAAAAAATAACATAAAACAAAGAGAACTCGTCAGAGGAGAGCGTCGCGATGAGTGATGGATGAGTGGGGTTTAATGATGGTAAACAGAACTTAAGAGCACAGCTGGTAAATGGTGAATGGTAAATCAAGATTAAGGACCAGGCAAAGTGGACACAGAGACAGAGACAGAGTAAGAGGCAGGCAATCAGGTGGACAGATAGAGACAGGCACAGACAGAGTAGTGACAGAAACAGACAGAGAGAAAGAGAGAGAGAGAGAGAGCGAGAGACTAAAAGCCATTCCATTCCATTCGCTGCATGCCACACACTTGGATGGATTCTGAGATACTGATTCTGAGAGATTCTGGGTTTCTGCGGAACCAATCTTACTTACCCAACGGTAAATTCCCCAGCATCGTTCCGCCCCCCGGCGCCGTTGCCCCCGCCCTGTGCCCATGCCCGAGTCCATGTCCATGTCCAGGCACCGCCGTCGATGTGGGCAGCTCAATGATTTCGTCGACAGTCACGTGATGATGCTGCTGCTGTTGCGGGTGATGCTGCTGCTGGTCCAGCTGTCGTATCTGCTCGAGGTCCAGCTGCTGCTGCAACATCTGCTCGGCAATGAGCATCTTGTGATGGTTGCTCACATGTCCAAACGGATCGGCATACGGCGGATCGTCGATGGTCATCGATGCCTCGGAGGGATATTCAAACGTCGACGTCAGCGTGTCGTTGAACTGCACGCGAAACTGTTGTTGTGTGGGAAAAAAAAGGCGAGCAGAGTGAAAATGGGAATCTGATCAGAGTGTTTGGTTCTGAAATTACAAACTATATGGGTCTTAAATATCACTTTTCCTGCTAAAACTTGTGTTTAATTATTATTCTGAATTTTACTATAGAAATCAAGTACTATATTACTCGGCGGCTTTAAATCCGGAAGTGAGCAACTAATTGTTGCTTTTCAGGGATAACCCACTCGAGTTTTCTCCTTTTTAAGACCACATCTGTGTCTAATATTAGCTTATATTTTATGCTATAAGCTACATAAAGACACTTCCCCTCTCCCAGCTCATAAATATAGTTAGTAGTTTCCTTTTGAGGGCATGACTCGCTGACATTGGCAACTGTGATAAGAGCTGATATATTTCTAATATGGCGACGTTGCATTTTCAGCGATAAATATTTGGATATTGGAATCTGAACCCCCAAACATAGTACACTACAAACATTGATAGTCCGGTTAACCGACTCTAGCTGAATTTACATAAAACCCTCTTTTATATTTACATTTAGCGGTCTCGCAAAAAAAAAATATATAAAACAAATCAATTTCAAGGTTAAACGAAAGCGTTAAAGCTCCTTTTGTCTTTAAAAATACATCAAATGTCCAACTTATTAGCTGTTTGGGTTAATGAATTATGTATTGGGTGTTTCTTTTGGATTTTTACGAGCATCAGATGACTTTATGTGTAGTTTCGAAGGTCTCGATTATCCATGACATTGAGGTAATTGCAAATAAATTGTTATGTTCTGTCGGGAGTCGGCGGGAGTTACTCATCGTCGCGTTGCCTTATCGATGCGGGCATCGAGTGAGTCAACCCCCCCTCTGTTCGTTATCGCTCAAAACAAACCCCAAACAGACCGCCGAGGCAATTCGATTCGATTGAATTGATTTGGAAATGGCTGAAATGCTGCTGCAAGACAAGAGGCAGGTATCAGGTATCCCCATATCAGTCATACTGATGGAATGCACCCGCACCCGAATCCACGGCCAGGAGTAAAAATTGAATAAATAAATAAGTAATGGTCGGAGTCCAAGAAAACCTAATGCAGTTTGATTAATAGTCCCCTGCGACAGGCGACACTCTCGATAAATGTTATTATATAAAGGCCAGCATAAATACCGTCTAACACATTCGCCATACCCGTCCCGTGCCTATACCCTTATCGCCTGTCATTGATTCCCATTGAGTGGTCAGAGCATTGTGCCGGTATTCGTATACGCTTCCCTCTTTGGAACGTACCTACATTTATATATGTGTATATATCAACTAATCTTATCTTATCCTGGCCAAATAGAATTGGAAAAAGAACCCATGCTATCTTTTGGCGTTTCGGTGGCAAAAGAAACAAAAATAACGAGACACCTGACTCACTATAATACCCAGGAATCGATGGATTCCTTTTTATATCCTTAAACCATTGGAATTTCAATATAAATTTCCTGAAGACTTCCCAGCTCTTTAAAAAGGAATTTCCCTTTAAAATTTCCCCACTTCATACCAGGAGTCGATGGATTCCTTTCTATATTCTTAAACCTTATAGGCGAGGCTATGAAATTTTATTGGAAATTTCCCCAAAACTTTCCTGCTCTTTAAAGAGATATTTCCCTTTCAAAGATCCCCTCTCCCATACTTACCGTTGACTCTTTGGGTTTCTGGCGTATGCTGGACTTGCCGTCAATCACAATGTTGGCATTCTCGAACTCCACATCGCACGGCGATGGCGGCCGGCACAAGGAGTATTCGTCAAAGTCCATATCCGTCGACGTCTCCACGGATAGATCACCCAGCAGCACGAAGCCCGGCTCGTTTGGCTAAAGGGGGGAAAGAAATAAAAATTAAGAGAAGCCAATCTTAGATATTTAATTAAAAATAAAAGCAACAAACGAACAAATGATTACCATATTTTAAGCTATTAATTGCCATAAATCGTATTATTTGTAGCAAATTATACAGAAACACGGCGACTAAATTTCGTATAAAATTCCTTAAAATTGAGACCATTGTATTGTTCAGTTTAAAATGTTCCTTGTGTGCTGGGTTTAAGCTTGTTAAGCATAGAGCCCGAGATGGTATCTCCAAGTGAGTGGCATTTATTTTAGCTCAACTACCAACAGAAGTAGAGGCTGAAACAGAAGCCTGTTGTCTGGTGTTGTCGCTAGTGTCTTGTATCTTGTTTATAACCCGTTTTGTGTACCAATATGTTGTTGTTGTTTTGTAAATCCATCAGGAAACCTGGGAATTAACCCCCTTATTTCTCTCAGAGATTTGTGGCATTTTCGGGTCACGAAACGTGATATACGAAATGCGTTCGAAAAGTGAAATTCATGGAACACCAGGCGACTCATTCTTAATCAGCCACAGCGGGCAATGGGTCATCTCTGGGACTGGGTGAGTCAGGCTGGCTCCCGGTCCAGGTTGCCACCCTTCCTTTCCCGTTAACCCATTTTTCTGGGGCACAAATCGAATCGACCCCCATCTGCCATATGCCATATATGTCAGATATATGTACATAAATACATATGTACGTGTACCGCAGATAATAAAGTTCAGAGCGAGATAAAAATGAAAAAGACAAGGCAGCCGAATCAAAAGCAACGGCAACAGCAAAGGCAAAATTAACGTAAAAAAAAAAAAAATAATAATACAACACATGGGCAAAAGCAAACACAGTAAGTAGAAGTGAGTTTTTTCCCCTTTTTTTTTAAGAATTGACAAAATTGAGTTCACAAAGAGAGCAAGAGAACGGCATGAAGCGACAAGGTAGCAAGCAAAACGGGTTTGTTGCAGGGAAAACTCAGCTAAGGCCGAAAGCTGAAAGCCAAAACTAAAAACTAAAATCTAAAACTAAGGGAGAGAGCTGTGTGAGAACCCTTTGAAAACTGGCATATTTATAATTTAATAAATCAATTAAATTAATAAGTTTTCAAGCTTCAATGGTATGCCTAAATGTCCCTAAAAAAAATGCTTAAAGACCATGATTTATTCTACATAAACCTGTTATTATACTCTTTTCAAATGCTCTTTAAATCAATAACATTTCCAATAATTAATATATATTTTCTTATTTAAAAAAAGCTAAATTTGCGGCACTGAATCACAAGAAATTAACAGCTGTGAGCCGAAACCAAACCCAAATCCGAGTCAAAGCTGAATTTCAAGTCAATATCGAGCGGCATCTTCCCGAGGAGTCACCGCCTCTGCTGTTGCTGCTCCCCCAAAGAAGAACCAAGCTCCCCACAGACGACACATAATATCTCATATATGTATATACCCGGGACAGAGCAGGAAGCGCAGAAATATCTTCTCGTGTCCACATGCACATGCCTCAAAACTGGTTTCCCACTCTTCCGATCTTCTCTCGAAAACTGCACTGGGCTGCAGTCACCCAAGGCCCCAAACGAAGAGCCCCAAAGAAGATTCGAAGGAGGGGACAGAGAAGAATGAAGACTAAAGATGCAGCTTGCATCTGGTTGGGCTGGGATGGGAACAAAGCAAACTTTGGGAAATAATATGCAGATATTTCAAGGCATGTGTGTATACGGTTGCAAGGGGGAAGAGTCGGCATCGGCATCGTCATCTCCATATGTCGCACACGTCCCGTATCGGGGCTATCGATCGGAGCGCTGCTATTCAAGGCGAATTTTAATTGACGCCGGGCAGAAGATCACTGCGAACTATTACCAGCTGGGGCTGTGATGCAAGCCTCCTCCTGCCTCACTCCCCATCCTCCATACATTTCCCCAGACATAGCAGTGCGATGATCGAACCACATCTCTAATTGAACGCCATTCTCCGATCGTCGATCTTGCTCTGCGTAATGCTAATTAACCGGTGCCTAGCCTGTGCAGCGTAATCTCTTGGCCATACTCATTGATCAACACCAAGGTTCTGCCTGCTGCAGCTGCTACCAAGTAATAATAATTGGCTACTGATCATAGTTGAGAGAGAGAGAGAGCCTGTAAAGACTATGATTTGGGTATTTCTAATTACAGGAATGAACCTAGCCTGCGGGTAACCATTTTTACGCTCTAAAATTAAAGTAAAACAGATGTTTACATTGTTTTTTTTTAACTAAACTGAGAACAATTGGTAATTCTTTAAATAAATTTCAAGTTTTAAGAACAAAAAACCCCTGATGATAGATCATTTTCAAGGGAATACCGAAAGAGTTGACCTCTAGAAGGTATGTATTACCACTCTAGAACGAATCACAACTGATCATTGATCAAAAAAAACTAATTTGGTGCCTGATTAGTGACCAATGATCCCATATCGTTAGTGAGTCAACTAAAACCCCATTTATTACTCAGTCATAAACACAAGTGATTGTTTTTTTTTTTTAAGCAAAGCACTTCCTCGAGTGACTAACAGAGGAAAAGAAAGGAAAAGGGGAAATCATATGTAGAATTGCTTTGGAGGAAAGAAAGAAATGACGAAAGAAAGAAAGAAAGAGTATCCAAGCTGCGCTTTGTCTTTGCCTCTGTGGTAGCCATCGCTCTCGCTCTCCTTCTGTCTCTCCCTATCTCTCCATCCTAACCCACTCTCTTCTCCGCCTTCATTCTCTCCTTCTCCCATTCTCCATCGTTCTTGTTGAACTTTCGAAATGCGCATGATCGCTGTTGCTCGCTCGCTCGCACCCGTTGTGTGTGCGCTTTGTTTCTTATTTGTTTATATATGGCATGGCTGCCGTATGACACAAAAAAGAGTATAATAATAATAATAATACAACAAAAAATCATTAAAAAAAAAAAAAGGAAAACTTAAAAACGGGTATGAGAGCAGCCAAAAAGAAACGGAAAATGAGGCAAAACAACAAAGATATTGGGGACGGACGCAAGAAACCGAATTATTATCAGGAAAATAATAATTCATGGAGCAATTGTTGAGCATGATTAATCCGCAAGGGCGCCTGCCGCGCCGATAAGACGCTACCAATCACCACCAGTACTGGCTTCAAACTCTCTTTTGCCAAGGAATTCACACCAATCCCAATTTTCACTCACCTTTGGCAGCTCCCGCTTGGGCCTGAAGATCACAACGTCGCTTTCGATGTAGTCGGGCACCTCCTTGGTGCTCTTGGAGAAGTTAAACACCATTGAGGTGTTCTCCGTGGTATGGCTGGAGCTGGCCGCCACTCCTCCTCCGCCATGCCTCTGATTTTGGCTGCTCCTCAACTTGCGACCCCACATGGGCGACGCGTTCGTGGCGTCCGTCTCCTCTGCCGCCTCCTTGGTGTTTATCACGGTGTCGAGACTAGTGGTGGGCGAGGATCCAATACCAGATCCAGCTGCAGCGCCAGCTACTGCGCCCGCGCCAGCGCCGGCTTCCGTTGCCGTTGACTTCTTCATCTCATTGATGCGATTCTTTTCGATTTCGCGACTTGTCAGCGGTGTGCTGCTGCTGCTCCCGGCTCCACCCGACTGGCTATTAAACAGTGGCCGGATCACTCCGATCTGCTTGGTTGTCACTGTTGGCAGGGACTCGCTACTGTTTAGTTTGCGCACTTGCACTCCACTTGCACTCCCGCCGCCGCTGGCCACATGCGCGTTCTCCGTCGAGGCACTGGCAAATGATCGCTGTTGGGCGCCTCCCGCTACCGCCGCCGCCGATGCCGTCGTTGCTGTTGTTTCCGCTGGGGGCTTAGGCTTATCGCCTGCCGCCGCGCCCATTTTATCGCGTTGCTCATTGTTGTCGCTGCTGTCGCCATCGTCGTCGTTGTTGTGGTCGCGATTGTCGTCATCGTCGATGCGATCGTGATCGGCATCGGCAGTGGCTTCTCCATCGCCCTCGTCGCCTTCGGTTCGCTCAGTCTCGCTCGGCGCCTCGCTCTGCGGTGTGGCCTCCTTTTTGTCGGGCGTCTCGGGATCCACTAGATCCATGCGTCGCATCATTATGCTGAGGGTGGACATGGGCGAATCCTGGGCACCACCTGCTACCTGGCGGGGTATGATGTCCGGATGGGCGTGGGTCGGGCGCAGCGGCGTGGAGGAGGCAAAGCCAAGACTGGGCGCCGGCGCCGACAACGACTTGTTGTTGATCGACTTATAGCTGGCCACCTTGCTGGCCACGCCGCCCACTCCATTGGAGCGATGGGCGGTACGCGGCCTCCTATTGGCACTCGCCTCGAACATCTTCAGCGTTTGCTTGACAAGATCGGGCGGCGGACGCTCCGTGTCATCGATTATGGAGGCCAGGCGCTTGGGCGGCGCCGTATCCGTGCCGCTGTGCAGTCGCTCGCGGGCATTGTGGATTTTGTCCTCGATGGTGACGCAGGTGGGCGATGCAGCGGTGGCGGTGGCAGGGGATGTGGCCGCCACCTTGGAGGAGGCCACAGGAGCTGTTGGAGCAACGCTGATTCGCTGACTGTTCCAGGGCGACTTCTCGCATAGCAACGCCTCCACGGAACGGGCGCGCTTCATTACCTCGTTGCCGCGCTTGAAATGTCGCGAACGATTGCCCGATCCTCCGTTGGCCTGCACCTCCTCCGACTTGGGACCAGCGGCGTTGCCGGCAATGACACTGCCACCGCCGCCGACTGTTCCATTTGCACCCAGGCTCACGGGACGCTGGGGGGGCTTGCTAGCCTGGGGCTTCGCCCCCAGAATAGGTGGCGGTGTCGATTTGGCACGCACTTGGGTGGCAGCACCCGCCGCCGCCGCCTCCACCTCGTTCTCCGCCTCGCCCTCGTCATCCTCGCGATCCAGCAGAGTGTTGAGGCTGGTGGAGCGCTGCAGCCGCTGCTTGCTGCTCTGCTGACGGGACTCGCGCAGGGCCAGACTAAGGTAGCGGCAGCGCAGCTTGGACACGATGCCGGGGCCGTAGCTTAGGTCCTCCAGCGTCTCTGGCAGTGTGGCCGACTGGTGCTCCTCCGAATCCTCGCCAGGTGCCGCCATCTTGCCTGCTATGTGTCGGTGGTGTTGGCCATTTTGTTTTGTGGTCTTCTTCATCTCTTGCATGGCGACCATTGTCGCGTTTACCGTTACCTTGCTGGGCGACAGTTGTTGCTGCTGCTGTTGTTGTTGCTGCTGCTGCTGTTGGATGAATTTGTTGCTCTGGAGCTTGTCCGAAATGGAAATGGTCTTGGTCTTGCTGCTGCTGGCTAAAGGCTCGCCCTCAGCAACGCTCTGGCCCGGTTTGCATTTCGTTAGCAAATGATTTTGGTTCGGATTTTGATTTGCTGACGACGGTGTATTTGTTAATGCTCCAGTTGTCGCTGCTGCTGTTGCTGCTGTGCCAGTTTCAACTTCACCTCGCGACAAACTCCCCACAGCAGCAGCCGGCTCGCTCTGGCTCTCCCGCTCGCGCTCTCTGAGATCCAAATTTAGAATCTCTCCCTCCCGCTCCTCCTCCTGGCTTCTTATGGAAGTCGTGTTGAGTAGTAAACTCGATCGCTGCTTTGGTATGGGTGCAATTGCTGCTGCCGGCTCAGGTGCGAGCGGTGCAGCAACAGAGTCTTTTCCAGTTAAGTATTTCTCAGACTTTTCCTCTGCCGCCGCCGACGTCGTTATAGTTCTTTTATGACTAGTGCCGCTACTGATTGTCGCCAGTTCCAAGGATTCTGCAATATGTGGAGAGGAGGCGGTGTAAAAAAGTAACTTAAATCTCAGCTTCTCAATTCAAAAGTCAGTGCCATGATCAATCTGGCAGCGCTACTATGCCGATAACCAACTATCGATAAGGCGGTTGAGTTGAGAGGTTCTAACAGGAAGAATGTACGTTATTGCGTACGGAATATCTATTTTTTTCGTATTTACTTTATTTTATACTAAATTTGTGCCAATATATTATGTTGAAACAAAACAAAGATCGCTTGACAAGTAATCGTTGGTAAGTTTAGTGTGGCCAAGGAATTCAAAGTCAGTAATCTGGCAGCGTTTTCGCATCGATAAACGATACCAGTGCCCGGGACATTTTGAATTCCATAAAATCGAAAGAATACCAACGAAAATCAAACACTTGTCTCTTGGTATTTTGAAATATTGCCAGCTCACCTGCATTTGCATTTGGATTTGGAACGGTGCCAGCGGTTGACTCCCCACCCAAAGCCCCACAACTGCCGTCGACGGGCGATGCAATGGCCGCCGCCTGAGTGCGCGCCACATTGGTCTTCCGGCGCTGGATGAGGTCCTTCTTCCACTGCGGCATGTCCGGCAGGAACCCGGAAGTGGGCGACATCTCAGCTCCTCCAGATCCCGGAACTCCTGCTGCTGTCACATCCGTGAGTAAATGCAATGAAGGCCGCTTCTGTGACTCCATTATCCCCGTCTGTTCTTGGCGCTGCAAGAGGCATTATTTTGGCATTAAAGCATTTGTATGTAGTATGTTGTATCCAGGCTGTCTACGCTGCTCTCCTACGGCAACTCCTCCACATCATGACCCCAAGACCAATGCTGGCCGACTGACGAACTGCCTCTGACTATGAGCTGGTGCTGGCAAATAGCAGGTGCCGCGGCCAAGCTCTCCTCTACGCTGCAAAGTTGCGGGCATCGCCGGCCGACCCAAAAGGGCTGCGAACCATGGCGAGAGCTGCTCGGTTATAGCCACTGAATGAGTTGTGTCGATTGCTTCCCTATTATGCCCAGCTATGTATATTCGAAATATAAGAAAATAGCAAGAAAATATAGAAAATCTCTCTAGGTATATTTTCTCTTATTATTTTGGTGTGGACCTTTATAAATTAGTTCAAAACTAAATTGAAAAAGGGTAAATCCTCATTCTGCTCATGGTCCATGATGCCGTATGAATATCAAAAACGAAAGCAACACTGTTTTTGGTAGGTTTCAATCTAAATTTCTGGAAAATATATACCTCAGCTAAAGATGCAGAATCTGGGACTCTATTTCGCCTTAGTGGAACTGTCATTGATCAAACAGAGGCAGCTAGTCAGGAAAGTTAAGAGTACGGGTTCCACAGAAGTCTTTAGTGGTATTCAATTAATTTAAAAAGTAATTTTTAAACATTCCTTAAAGGGATGATTTTATATCAAAATTAATGTAATGCATAAAATACACAATTTAAGTGAAATAAAATTTAAATCACTGTTTTCGAGAAGATATTTTCGAACTCAAAATATTTGTTTCCCATTCGGGAAATCGCTAGGAGATCGGCAGGTCGTTGTGACCCTTTTCTTGTAGAGTTTTATTTTTCTTAATTGGATTAACTGCTGTTTTTACGGACCGAGACAGCCGAACAGAACGTAGAACATAAAACGCGAATTGCAAAACGTAAAACGTATAAAAAAAAATAGAAAAAAATATAACAAAAAGAAAAGGGTAACATAAGAAGCAAAGAAACCCCAATATTTTTCCAGCATAAATATGCTAAACTGCCGTCGTAATGAGCGGAAAATGCGATAAAGCGAGGAAAACGGCTCGTCTTATTGTTTCGCTGAATTGATTGCATGGCGAGATTACTTTTATTTGTTGTATTTACAGCTGGTGGAATCGTTTTGTTTCTTCAGCTTTGCTGCGCTTTGCATGCCGCGATAAAAATTATTATTTTTAATTTCCCATATCACCCGCTCTATGTGTGTGCGCCTGTGTGTGTGTATGCATTGCCCGGCGAGAGGGTGTGAGTGAGAGAGCGAGCGAGTGAGGGAGGGAGGGAGTGCGCGCAATAAAGGGGCTGGAAATTGCAGACGAAGCATAAAATAAACAACCGACGACGCGCTATCGATTTTTACGGAAAGCAGCCAGAACTTTGTACACGTACACACACACATTCGCTCCAGTACACCTGACACCCACACGGGCTTGGCGAAATACAAACTGGAAAATGCCTTTGATTTGGAAAAACTCGCAAAAGAGCGCCAGAAAGAGGAGGAGATAAAAGAGCCGGGTTTTGTTTATTTACACAGGAACGAACACAAGCACAACACACGCACGCAGGCACACATACACTCGAACTAACGGTCCCGTTAGTTGTGGCAGCTCCTAGCTGTTTTTGTTTATTTACCAGAATCGGAAGTCAATGGAGAAGCCGTTTCTCCACGAATAGAGTTCTTACTTTGCAGAAATGCGGCTGGCAATGGTGGTTTCGTTTTCAGTTTTCCCCTCCGCTTTTCCGCCCAGTGGTGAGGCTGAACGAATCTCCACCGCTTTTCAGTTGGACGCGCTGGCCGAATATCTCGCTCCGCTCGCCTCGTTCCGCGCACTTTTCCTGGCTTATCCGACTGCCACTCGGCCACTGTCACTGCTGCACTCAAACTCGGAACTCGGACACTCGGGGGGCGTGGGTGCAAACACTGCGCCTCAAAAGTGCATCTTTTGCGAATCAGCGGAAAAAACTTAAGCCGCGTTTCAGTCCAGCGTTGCCACCTGGCGTGCTTCACATCGTGCTAAAAATGGCCGAGCTGCCAGAGCCAGTTTTCCCGCTGAACAATGGAAATTTCTAAACAATAGGAAAATGGGAAATTCTTATTGTGATGAATAATTAATGGAGTAATCTTTTTGTTCTAAATGTTTTAAAACCATTTTTGTGGTCAAATTCACACCCTATGGAGCTGAATTACTAGCTATTTTGTATTTTGTGTTTAAGCGTACGGTTTTTTATATTTATATAAAAATTCGTTTAGTTTATATTAAAATATGGACCAAGAATATTGTGCATTTTTTTAATACAATTTCATGTCCCGTTATGATGAGATGGCAGCTCAGATTTTGAAGCCAGGTGGCAGCTCCATCAACAGCTGGCAGCCCGATAGGTTTTTGTTATTGTTGCTGCAACTAAACTGCTTTTGTTTATTATTTCTGTTTTAACAAGCAACTTTATCTGATGGCAATTAACTAAATAAGCCACATATAAGCAAATCCACTGGTAAATACAAAAACAACCGACCCTCTCCCAATGAGCATTAACTGGATAAAGATCACCGAAAGGTAAGCCATTTGATCCCAAATAACGTTCTTCAGCTTAACTAATTCACCAATCAACCATTTAGGGCCCGCGAGGGCATCAAGATTATAAATGCCCTACCGTTCGACACCTTCACCACGGTCCTGTGGTACACACACCGCCAAATGAGTCCCAGCGCCGCTGGGGCTTCCGCGTCCGCGAGCGCCGGCAGTACGGTGGGCACCAGTGTGACAACTACGGAGCGGGCGGACAGCAGCGGTGCCGGAGAGGAAAACCCCACCAGCAGCAGCGAACCAGAGTACACGCTAGAGGAACTAGAGCGATTGGTGGGCGTGCCGCGAGCAGATTTCCTGCTGCTCATCAAGACCTTCTCGTACATCCTGCGCCGCATCTCCACGTTCATCATCAAGCCCAGTCTGCTGCAGCGCGAGCTGCGCGACAAGCTGCAGCTGGAGGACGAGGCCAAGATCGATGCCATTCTGCGGCTGTGGGTACGCGAGACGACCCCGATCATGAACAATTTGGCCAGCAAGCGCTACGAGTCGAACGTGATCGAGGATGTGGCCTGGAAGCTTAATGTTGAGGTCTCCTCGCACTGCCAGCAGCGGACAAAGACACCGCTGGCCGTGCTCCAGATGAAGACGGGCGCCGGCGAGGATATTAGCATTGAGATGACGCATCCGGAGCTGCAGGATCTATACAATCAGTTCGAGAACATACAAAGCGAGCTGGACGCAATGCTGGCAATGAAGGCTCCGGCCGCGGCTGCGACTTCGGCTGCAGCTCCATCCCAGTAGGGATGTTGACCATTCCCAGTGCCAATTTAGTGTTTAGTGTTAGTCGTCCTCCCTGTGCAAATATGTATGCAATACAAAATCCAATCGTAGCCAAAACCTAGCTAAAAATTACATGTTTGTAGCTTCCAATTCAAATCAGTTCTCAAACGTCTAATAAAAACAAATGATTGTATATTGTGTGCTGTATTCTTTGGCTTTGAAATAATCTGTGAGAAGTTACTACTTCGTGGACTTATTCCATGTGTGGTATTTCATACAGTCTTTGTATGATTTGCCCGGACTTTCTTACCCGAAAGTTAAATAGAAACACATCGGTTTTCGCACATTTTACAGTACACTTTAATGGGATTTTCTGCTTATGCGCTTCTCTCTCGTCCGCTGCCCCTCATCGAACCGTATTTAATTCTACTGATAAACATTACAAATTATTACAATGATATATATATTTTATATATGTCTATATTGTATATGCATATGTAGTTCGACTTAGTACGGGTTGTATAATGATGGAGTCGTATGTATAGTATGTTTTCATTTTCACTTCCGCTTTCGTTTATGTTGTATGCATTACACAGACTTTCTAGTTGCAATCCTCGTCCTTTGCATATATCTGTATTTATTGATTTAATTATTTATTTATTAAATGCTATTGTGTGGCAGGGATTTGGGTCTAATTTTTCGGGAGGGCAGGATAAATTGAAATTATGGGGCTTCGTTGTTTACGTATTCACTAATCTATAGAAGCAAAACGATTCTATTGCACTTTGGTTAATCACTTCAACTAAGTTCTGGACTCAAAATTACACAGGTTTATACAAATCATTAGGACTTAATTTGTTATTGTTTAAAGTTGATTATTGCTATAGTTCTTTTGTCGCTTGTGTCTGTGTGGGTGTGGGGTGTTTGTCGCTTTGGCACCTTAACTATCGGTTGTTGGTTTTAGTTAGTTAGTCTTTATGGTTTGCGTGGGATTCGGTTTCTTTGTTGTCATTGTGGATTTTGTGTGTAAATGATTATCGCCTCACAAAATGCGTTGCTTGGTCGTTTATATTAATTTAATTAATGTATTTCTTCCTGTCGTTCTTTTGTGCTGTCTGTCTGTTATCTTTCGCCGGCCTATCTTCCACTTTCACTTTCTTTTTAAAAAGACAACGATTCAAAATCTACAAAAATCAAAAAGTCTGGAGAGCAGTGCCAGAGAAATTTACTCGCTGCTCGTGACTCGGTACTCTTTGCTCGGAACTTGATACTCGTTACTCGCCAATTGTTACTCGTTAATCAAGGTTTTCTTGATTTCAAACATATTTTTTGTTAATAGTTCTAGCTGCATTTCTTTAGGGAGTAACTAGTTTTCCTTACTGAACATAAGTTAATTTTATGATTCAAAACAGCTCAGTTCAGTACTTTTTTAGCTTACGTTTAGTTTTCAAAATAGTAATTTTGTTCCATGTCTGGCAAATATGCACCTCGATAAAATTCACTAAATTGGCGAATGAAGTGAAAATGGAAACGCGACTTGTGTGCAAGTTTTTTGTGTTGATTTTAAGTTTAACAATAACATCGGTGTTTTAAATTACGTTATTAATTGGTTTTATTTATTCACTTCCTGTGCCTCGTCCGTTCAAATAAAAAAGCAACAAATGGTTTCGATTTTTAAATAAAATTTTATATAATTAAACAAAATTAAGGTAGCACATACATTACACAAGAAGTTTACACAGCTTACGAGCTATAAAATTATCAAACAGAAATAAAAAAAATATTTTAATAATAATAAAAATTAAAAAGGTTTACACTACACTACATACGTACATACATGCAGCAAAATCTTTGTTTTATTAAATCTATTTAACTCAATTATTGCATCTTGTGTGTAGTAGTAGTTGTGAGTGTTTATGAGTGGGCGTGTGTGCGATTTAGAGTTAGTTTAGTTTTAGTTTTAGTTTAGGTCTAATATAAGGTATATATTTATCATGTATTTATATATATATGCATACATATATATATAATAATAATATAAAAAGTAAACATTTAGCGCTTTTAGTTGGCTACAAAAATTTGCTCGTCTTGCTCACGTACATATTTCAACTAACATTAAGTGTACAAAAAAATTGGAAGATACAATATATATAGTTTATATCAAATTGTGGCTAGCGTAAAAATACAATTCAGTATTCAGTATTCTCCAGTTGAAGCGGCAATTACAATTACTCGTTACACGTTACTCGGTACTCGTTACTCGATTACAATTTCAATTGCAATCGGATCCCCCGATTATCTTACGATATATGTGTGTATATATACTATATAAAATGTATAAATTGATGCGTGTTCTGTTTGGCGAGATTGCTGCATTCCCATTCGATAGATCGGTGTATATTTATATATGTATTATATATCGAGTAGTATCCGGTGTATGTAGTATATATCCAAGTATAATATCAAGCGTGGATCTCCATCTATTCTTAAGTAAATAATAATGTAGTTTGCCACACGATGGTTGAGTTGGGTTGGGTTTCGGTTCTCCGTTCGGTTCTCGGTTGGGATTGGATTGGATTGGATGGCGTCTACATGCCCGACTCGGCGATGCCTTCGTCATCTAGAAAATATTCAAAGCGGCAACAATTAGTGTTTTCCAAGTGACTTTTGATTTTTAAAGCTTAGCGCATGCCGGGTTAGAAAACATTCAGGGATATACAAAATAAAATATACAAAAATATATATACGTATACATAAAATACACAAAATGCAAACTAGAGTACAGGTTCAACATGCAGGCAACATACAATATCGAAAGGAGATGATGGCCACAGTTCACTTTATGAGATTTAATTGATAAGTTCAAAACAAAAATCCTACAAAAATATTTGATATATTGGATGTGATCTGAAAACATCTAATAAAAGTCGGAAAATGTAATTATTTAAAGCTTATTTCACACGTTAGTTAACACTCGGTAAAGGTAATATTACTCGTTACTCATCACTCGTTACAAGTAACCAAGAATTTATATGAAAACACAGAACTTGGAAAAAAATGTCTGCACATAAAAGAAAATTTATTAGGTTGACAATCTTGCGTAAAACTATTAAAAGTGAGAAAAAAAGTTTTTCTTTTTTTAGTTTATTTTAAGGTTATGTTAATTGTTACACATTACTCGTTAAAGTAACTCTTTAAATTTCATGTATCTATTTATTTTTTGTATTATCTTTTTATTATTATTTATTATCTATTTGCTTTATCCTTTCAATGATCTACTTTCCGAACCAAATAAAGTACTAATATCTCTAGTGAACGATTTAAGTGGCCATCGGGAGGTAGGGAGGAGGGATCTGTGCCGAAAGTGTATGTCTATACAAACCCATAAACGGATTGGCATAGATGATGCCGCCGCCGGCCTCGGAACCAACACCATTGCCCAAAACACCACCACCATTAACACTGCTGCCGTTGCTTCCTATTCCCGCTCCTCCGCCTGTATTGCCGCCTCCCATTCCTCCCACGTTGTTGGCTCCGCCGCCTGCTCCTCCTCCTGATCCTGCTCCATTGCCAAGTCCACTGCCAGACAGACCCAATCCCTTGCAGAGCTTGGTGGTGGCATAGTTGGAGTCACCGTCGCCCACCAGCGTGGCAATGTCATCATCGTCGCCGTTGCGCGTGTTACAGCTGCTGCCCAGAAGCTGGTCGTAGCAGCTGACATCGGTGCTAATCACATCCACCTCGATGTCGTCGTCGTCCTTCTCCAAGCTGTTCCGATTGCTGCCGCCCAGCGAGGAGTGGAGGGCATGGGAGTCCTCGTAGCTGCCGCCGCCGCTGTCATCGTTGGCATTGTTTGACTTGGTGTCGATGTGCGTCTCGAACTCGTCGTGCATGTACAGCTCCACGTCCTCATCCACATCGACATCGACGCAGTCCACGTCCTCTTCGCCATCCTCATCCTCCTCCTCGAGATCCCCGTCCAGGTCGTGTGGCACCAGCTCACCATCCTCGCCTACCTCCACGCCCAGCTCGACCTCCAGGAGCGAGCGACGGCGCACAAAGACATCGTCGTTGTCGTGGGACTGGTTGTGGTTCTGCGGCAGGATCATGACATCCTCCTCGGCGAAGCTGAGTCGCACATTGGCACGACTGGCGCGATTGCTGCCGCTGCTGGAGCTCGATCCTGTGGCACCAGATCCTGATCCGGATCCCGTGCCCGTTCCATTGGCGATATGCTCATGGCTGAGACTGTTCTTAATATCACAGGACGACGAGCTGAAGGTGATCAGCTGGGACTTGCGTCTATGCTGGAGCGTGTTGTAGCCATTGGTGGCATTGGCGGCGCCACCACCGCCAACACCTGTCTGCGTCTCAAACTCGAGGACCTTGCTGTCCTTGCAGATCATCGAGCTGGGCTTGTTGTCAACCAGGACGATAACCACCGAGTTGTTGTTATCGCTGCTCTGGTTGACAACCGAATGTCATCTGTCCGGCGGTGGTGCAATGTCGGCACCAGCACCGGCTGCTCCCCCAAACGAGCTCATCGATGTGGTGGTCGGCAGTGTCATGTGATGATTATGATGATGATGGGGATGATGATTGAAGCTGCTGGTCAGCGGCTGTTGGTCATCGTGCAGTATCGCTGCATTCTCATCGTCAATGGCCTCGGCCTCCGCCTGGCGGAGATCGTGATGCGACGACAGGTGGCCCTCAATGGTGGCCACCACGTCCCCGTTTTCGTCCAGCTGCACTGTTGCTTGGCCTGTGCATGTGGCGCGTATTGGAAATGGAGGAAAATAATGTCATTGCACATTGGTTAGTCACCCGTCACCGCAAGAAACCATAAACATAGTACTAACAATAGCAAGGATCAAGGATCAACTACAAGCAGCTGTCCTCACTCTTTCCACCTTTCTTTTTCATATTATTAATAATATTCTTTTGATTTTTGGTTAGTCATTGCGAACGGCAGCAAAACTGCAAGAGTTCCTGGGCCCCAAGCTCCCCTACCTACCTTCATAGCCCTCGTTGTCGTGCATCTCGCGGGCGGGTCCCACGATATTCTCCTTGCCCTCGAGCACCGCCAGCAGGCACTGGTGGATGCAGATGTACTGCTGCTCCGTCTGCACCATCCAAACGCGCTCTAATCAAGAAAGTACAAGCAGGATTAGTTGGGATATCTGGTGGTTGTCCAGCTCTGGGTCTTACCCTTGCGCATGGCATACACAATGCCAAAGATGTCCACATAGTCGGACGTGTTGATCTGCTGCAGGATTCGGTCCAGGGTGATAAACGTGCCCGACCTGCCCACGCCGGCACTGCAGTGGACCACAATGGGCCGCTGCTCGGCACCGATCCGATCGCGGAAGGCGCGCACGAACCGCACCAGCGTCTGCGGCGGATTGGGCACCCCGAAGTCCGGCCAGGTGGTGAAGTGGAAGTGCCGCAGGATGCGCTGTTCGCTGCCCTAGTATTTTAGAGTACGGAAAGGGGAGTTAAGAAATCCCAAAAGGAAATATGGATGGATGTTACCCTGCACAGCATGAACTCGGTCATCACCCAGTCGGCGTAGTGGCTGTCGTTGAGGATCTGCACCTTGATGTCGCCGTAGAAGACCGGCACGGTGTCGTTCGGCCAGTACTGGTCGCACTTCTCGCGTCCCTTTTCGAAGCACCGGGTGAGCATCACAATGGCCCGGGAGTTGCTCTCCCAGCACATGCGCCAGAAGTCGTCGCGCGTGGAGTGCAACGGTCCCTGGGTGACGATGAACTCGCGCGGGGAATTGTGCCCGGGCACATAGTTGGCATTAATATAGTCACTGCCCTCGTCATCGTCCACGGGCTGGAGCTTAAAGCGCGAGTGGTCGTAGGGCAGGATGTTGGTGAAGCGATTCTTGGGCCGATTGCAGGGCAAATCGGCAAAGGTGCAGGGCTGATCGCGGCCCACATGCTTCAGCTCCTCGAACTCCTCGCTGAAGCGGAAGTCCGAGTCGGCGGACATGAGGCGGTAGTGCTCGGCAAAGTTTTTGATCAGAATCGGACGATTCTGCTCGATGACGCTGTCCGGCAGGGACATGTTGTCGTTGGCCCGCGAGTCCTTGGTGGTTTTCCGGAAATTGTTCCGGCGACGTTTGTAGAACAGAAGCGTAACCAAGAGCACCAAAATAATGGTCAGAGGCACAGTAATGGCCACAATTAAGGAGGTGTTGTCTTGATCTAGCATGGGAGAAAGAATGAAGGGTAAGGATTAGTGGGATTTTAATTGATGTGGATTTTAATGATAATGGATTTACGTTGATTTTAATTTATTTAGATTTTGATATATGTGGATTTTAAAATATGTGGATTTTATTGTACTTGGATTTTAATTTTATATTTTATGGATTTTGATTTATGTAGATTTGTTTTTTGATTTGTGGATTTTGATTTGTGGGTTTTAATTTATTTGGATTTAAATTTATGTGGATTTTCATGTGTGTGGATTTTGACGTATGTGGATTTTAATTAATTTGGATTTTGATAAATGTGGATTTCATTATATTTTGTCTTTAATTGATGTGGATTTTGATTGATGTGGATTTTATTTGATGTGGATTTTAATTTATGTAGATTTAAATTTATATGGATTTTAATTGATGTGGATTTTAATTTATGTGGATATTAATTTATGTGAATTTTGAGTTATGTGGATTTTATTGTATTTGGATTTTTATTTATGTGGGTTTCAAATCTATTTAAAAACTTAAAAAAAAACCACTGATATTTTCTGGAAAACATATTAAAACAAAACCCGCAGATCCTTAACAAGGACCTCTAATCGTTGCTTACCCGGTGAGCTCAGCATTTCTACCAAATTCATTTTGTGATAGGCAAGACATAGTTAGGAATTGGAGGTTAATTAAGGGTTATATCCTTCGGGTTAGCTTTACATCAAGAAGACACCACTTAAGACTACTCACCCGTTTGGATTGGAAAACTGTAGGCGGTGTCCGTGAACTTGTCCGGTCCGGTGAAGGCTCGCACCTTCACCCTGTAAGTGGTGCCGGACTTCAGAGGCCCGTTGCAGTAGCCAATCTTGTGGTTGTCACAATTCTCCGTGCCGATGGTAAAGTCCTCAACGGATCGATTCTCAAAGGGATAGTACGGATCGATGGCCTGGTAGGGCAGCCACACGCTGTACGACTGCACGTCCAGCCAGCTGGGCATCTCCAGGCCGGAGGCATTCTTGGCATCATCCTCCGCCACTATGATGGTGTACATGCGCACCTGACCGTTCTGGTCCGAGAAGTAGTTCTTGCGGAACCGTATCTGGATGGTGCTGGAGCTGCGATAGACCTCCGTGGGCACCACCTGGGTGGCGGGACGTGGCGGTGCCAATATAGGCATCGTTTGCCTATACTCGCGCTCGGGGCCAAAGCCTATGGCCGTCTTGGCCTGTATTTTGAAGACATACGTCTCGCCCGGCTTGAGGTTCTTAATGAGGCCAAAGGACTCCTCCGAGTCAAAGTCCTGCATGCCGGCATCCGTCAGATTGTTGACATTCGTGTAGGCGATGGCAAACTGTCGGATGACGCCATTTGCCTCGCTGGAGGGCAGCGACCACTCGAAATTAATCTCGCTGGGCTGCACGTCCGTCGGATGGAAGCGTTCCACACGACCCGGCACCGCTTCGTTCGTAGTAAAGCTGGCCGAGAGCGGGGAGCTGCTGCGCAGCACTGAGGACTCGGTGCCGGAGCGCACCACCACCGTAAAGGTGTAGTTGCGGTGCGGACGGAGATCGCTAATGGTAATCTCGTTGCGCGTGGTCATATTCTGGGCCAGCAGGTTGTCCGCCGTCAGGTAGGCAATGTCAAAGTCATTGTACTCGCCCTTGGGCAGGTCCCAGCGCAGCGAGATCTCCGTGTCCGTGATATTGGTGGCATGCAGCTGGGTGATGGGCTCCGGATAGAGACGATCCTGACGCTGGATAGGCAGGCTGGCCACACCGCCGCTGACCGTCCACACGGTTATGTTGTACAGGCGCCCGGGCACGAGACCGGTGAAGGTAACCTTGCGATCGGTATCGTTGGCCAGCTTCTCCTTGTCCCGGATCTCGGCATCGCCCAGCGAGAAGCGATAGATGTCGAACTTGGAGGAAGACTGCGGTGTAGGGGTGTAGCTCAGCGTTATGGTGTCCCGCTCATCCTCCTTCTCGCCATTGGCCACCACCACGTCCGATTGGATGAGAGGCATGGTGCGTGGATAGAGGCTCGTGGTGCCCGAGAGGATGCCGTATGAGGTTGTCTGGATGTCGAACTTGTACTGCACGCCCGGCATCAGTTCGCCAATAAGGACGCGCACCGTGGACAGATCGTCGGCTGGAGATAACACGGACACGAGTTATTTTTCCCGGCCTCCTAGTGGGTTTACTTATATTTATATTTCAACTTACCCGACTTGTTTTCGGACACATTCTTGGTTTGGACCCGTCCGGGATTGTCGCTGGGCCACCACTTGAGTATGTAGGACTCCACGCGGCCCTCGGGCTTGGGCCATTCCAGCGTTATGTTCCTGGAGTCCACCAGCTGGATGATATTCGAGACCGGATTCGGCGGCACCGTCGTGTTCACCTCCTGGGGCATGGGGCTCTCCACACCAAAGCTCACCGTGTTCACCTGTATGGTGTACTTCTCGCCCTTGGTCATGTCGGTGATGTCCGCCTCCGTGGAGCGGACGCTGGGCAGCCGCACCCACTGCTGCTCGCTGTCGGTCCGATAGCGTATGGAGTATTCGGTGAACTCGCCGCTTTCCGGCGGCGACCAGTGGACCAGGACGGAGTTGCTGCGCACTGTCTCGATGGTCATGTTTCGTGGGGGATTGGGATCTGCAGGGAATAATAGTGTCAAAATGGAGGATTTTCATGGTTTTTTCATAGAGAAATCACTACTTACAGACTGCCTGGAAGTAGGCATGCGGCTCGCTCCTCAAGTCATGGCTGACGGCAAAGACCTTGAGCTCATAGCCAGCGCCCGGCTGAAGATTCTTGATCACCAGTCGCGACTCCTTGGTGATCAGGGTGCGCACCTCACTCGTTCCGTTGCGGGAATACAAAACCTCGTACTGCTCCTGTTTCGAGTTGACGTCGCTCTTCCAGCTGATGTTCAAGCCCATACGGATGCTCTTTAGATCCTCGATTATCGGTGACGACGGGCGTGTGACCACAAAGATGCTTGTCTCGTTGGATTCCATCTTCTTGGAGACGGCCTGCACAGACAGCGAGTAGTTTCTGCCGGGCAGCAGGCTCTCCAGGGTGAAGCGAGTGCGATCTGTGGTCAGGGTGCTGGTGTCTCCATTAAAGGTCTCCAGTTCGTGGTAGCTGTCGAATAGAAAAAGTAACGAGTTATGAGTGACGAGTAAGATGAAAGAGTAGCGAGTAATGTGTATCAAGTTACGAGTAATAAGATACGAATAACAAGTTACCAGTAAAAAAGAAGTATCGAGTAACGAGTAAAGATAAACGTGTAAAGAGTAACGAGTAACAACTTATTACTAGGTATTGGTCACGTCTTTAATTCTACTCACACAATCCGATACTCATCCTGCGTGCTGGCCGGATCTGCCTCCCAGGTGATGACCATGGTATTGGTCTTATCATCATTGATGCTCCTCAGATTGCGAACAGGCAGCGGACGCAGAGTAACATCCCCGGTGGCCGGCCACGAGGTGACCTTGCCGGACACCGTCTTCACAATCACATTGAAGGTCTTGCCCGGCTCCGCGATGTCGCGAAAATCAAAGAAGGCCACCGGCTCATTGCTACGCGGAACAGTGGACTGTCGTCGGGTGGTGGCCACTGAGACCTGGTATTTGTCAAACTCCGAGACACCCTTGGGCGCCTCCCACAGCACCCGGAACGAGTTGGAGCTGATAAAGTCCCGGTCAAAGGTCACGTTCAGCGGCCGCAGCGGCACCGTCCGATACTGGGCAGTCGTAGGCAACGAGATCTCATCCTCGGACATTGTCTGAACGGAGATGTTGTAGGCGCGACCGGGTACCAAACCCTTGAAGGCCGCCTGCGCCGGGCCCGGCGGCTCGCCCTCCTTTTCCACATACAGCACACTGTCGTTGGCATCCGGCGGCTCAATAGAGACCTTGTAGTGCGTGTAGATACCCGCCGGATATGGCGGCTGCCACAGGACCAGCAGAGTCGTCTCATTCCGGAACCAGACGATGAATTTCCCCGGAGTGTTGGGCTCTGCGGACGATGGCGGCGTCGGCGTCGGCGAATGGCGGATTCCAAATTGCGAATTCCAAATAGCGGATTGCGGGCAAACAGAGAGAAGTGAAGTGGCTTGGCGTTAGTTGCGGTCACAGTTGGTATTTTGGGGCAGGGCAGAGAAGGGCGTTTAGTTTTCAGCATGGGCATGGATATGGGTATGGGGATATTGTGGCTGGGATTCTGGGGTCAGGTTTTGGGAGCAACTACTTTGTAAGTTCTACAATGTGAATGGAGGTTCAGGCACAGTGGATGTTATTTCAGTGAAAATCTAAGAGATACTTCACTTGTTTGGGGTTCCTAAAAGTATGCTAGAGCCGCGACTTACGCAGCTGGTTTTTTCGTAGAGATGTTATTATATTAAAAGCAGAAGGAGATTAGGAGTTATTGCCAAAAACTTGATAAATTTATAAAAATAAAACCGAAACTGGTTATAGATAGAAGTCGGTCCAAAAGTAAGCTTTACGGTTTTAGCAGTTTAAGATTGAACAAAGAATTTGTATAGCAAACTTTTGGGTAGCTTGGCAACAGTTCTCAAATCTCTTAATAATTTAAAGGGAATGTGATACAAAAAATAAAAAATATATCCAAATAATAATAATAATTGCTAAATATACATATGTTTATAATAAAGTAAAATAAATGAAAACAAAATATATACAAATAAAATAAAATAGAGAAAAATTATTAGCAAACTTAAATTATTGTGAAGAAGTCGAGCAGGCAAATATTTATAAAAAAAATCCCTTGTGGCCGTCTAAGCATTGCCTTTACAGAGTGACCACTGTGATTTGTGTTTCGGTTGCTTTGCTGTGGCTGGACATGCACATGGCTTTGGCCGAAGGCTAACACTACACAAAAGCACAGGCGGAGGAGGAGGAGTAGGAGGTCGCCACCATTTCTGTGCGGAGAAAGTGCACTGCGGTTGTCGGATACAAAATGAATTTTGGAATGCAATTTTGGGATGCCCAGGGCTGTGTTTGGGAAATTACACAACAAATTCATAAATACCAAGGGCTGGTTATATTTCTTAAAAATAATAAGTGTTAATATTTATAAAAACTATTTAAAGAAAATATTTAATCATAGAAAGTTTTCTATAAAATGGCAAATAAAAATATAAGTATTTATATTTTCATGCTAAATTTGTTTAAATATTTATTTCCTTTGTTGGAAAAACTCTCATGCAAATAACTACAACATCTTGGGGGTTGAGTTGGGGGTGTTTTTCGGGTAGTTTTTCTTTGTTTCTAGGAGAAGACAAGCTTATGTATTACCTCTTAGGATCTTAATGTCCAGCAATTCTTTATGCCGCGTCCTTCGACCTTTTTGTGTGTTGTTATTAATTTAGTGTCATGGTTTTTTGTTTTTTTTTGTGTTGTGTTTAGTTACAATGAAAGCGGGAGACAAAGAAGTTAATCATTTTTAGTAACCAGCACCAAGTAGAGCCAGGGTATAACAATAATAATAACTATAATAATTATGATCCCTTGGGTCGCTGCTTGGACTCACTTGTGGTGAAATTTCGACTCGTGTACGCCACCGACTCCTTGCCATCGTAGATAGTGTAGGCCTGCACCTGGTAGGTGGCTCCCGGTGTCAACTCCTTGACGCTATGCTGGAATGTATTGTCGTTCACCTGGAAGGTGCGATTGTAGCTGCTCGAGGCCTCCGACAGGCCGAGCACCTTGATCTTGAAGGCCGTGTAGCTGCCCTGGGTGGGCGGCGACCACAGGATAATGGCATTTTTCCCGCTTCGCACTTGAACGGACAGATTCGAGGGCGGATCGGGAGCTGCAACAAAAATAATAGTTGTAATTAGTAACATGAAAGAAAATGAACTTCCGGAAGCCGAAATTTAAATGCCCTTACGGTCTGCCATAGGATCCTGGCATTGAATCAAGAATCGGTCATAACTAAACCAAAAGTGCATTAATTTCAGTTTGACTTACTTTACTGTATTTGTTTTTATTCGATTAACAAATTAGAATTATGTAATTTTAAGAACTTAAAATTTTTACAATATTTTTTGAGTCTTTTTTTTTTTTGGGAAAAAATCAAGCTCTCAAATTAAAATCTGCAAAAAATGAATTAAATTGAAAATGACTACTTCACTGATAAATATATATAATTCCCTTCAAGAAGACCGTAAATATTTAAATTTTTTAAATGGATATTTATCAATATTTTTATATGTTAATTTTTTTTGGACAAATCGTAGTTTAAAAATTGCATAACTAAGTCAAAAAACCATCAAATTCACTTTGGAAAGCCTTTTTGTGCTAGTTTTTAGAGAGTAAATTACTATTTATACTACATTTCGAATTAAAAACAAATGAAAATTGTTGTAGAAGTATAAAATTTATTTATTTAAATAACTATCTGCATACCAAGTTTCAAATTGAATGAAAACCTTTTGACGATCTTAAAGAAAGTCAATCAGTACGTAAGCTTTTTAAAGCTTTTGAAAATGGTAATCCTTAAGTAAATAATAAAACGAAATAAATAAAAAAAACTAATAGAGTTATGGAAATATATAAAAAAATAACTCTTGCATCGGCCGGGAATCGAACCCGGGCCGCCCGCGTGGCAGGCGAGCATTCTACCACTGAACCACCGATGCCTGCTGATCGCCGGCTTTCAATTTGCGTACTTTAGTTGCTAATTTATTATTTTATTAAATCTTTACTTATTTGTGCTGCTGTCTCCGCATTTCTGGTAAAAGTTGCTGCTATAACTTTTTTGCTTGTTTTTTGTTTGCGCTTTGTTTTGGCTTTGCTTTTGTCTTTGGGTGGTTTTTTGTGATTTGCTTTTTCTGAATTACTTTTTGTATTGCCTGTTATTTTTGTCGATCGCCGGCGATAACTTGAAATTTTTGTTCACTTTCTTCATTTGACCAGCTTTGTTTTTATTGGCCAGAAAGAGCGATAAAAAACGGGGAAGAGAGCGTGTGTGTGTGTGAGTGTGTGATGGCTTTCTTGAAAATGCGTTGGCAATAATACGTTAACTGCATTTTTGCCATGCCTCTCCAACAAATGCAATAAAACCAACAAATGGCAAAAAACAGTTGACGCTTTTCCACCAGCTCAGCTCCCCATCTCTGGGTTTTGCCTAGTTTCCCTTGGTTTTTCCACCCAAACGAGACCCTTGGGTAATTTATAGGCATAGGACTGCTCTCAACGCCCTCTTCTTGTCTCGGTTATCGAGTCTTCCACTTTCCTGGTCTAGCAACCCCTCCCCTTTAGCTGGACATTCACAGGTGTTGGCCGAATTTCCACCACCTTTTTGGGGGAAAACTTCTTTACCAAACTTTTGTGGCTCACCTTTAAAAATAACTTGTTTAACTTGAACCTTGGGGTTATTCTTAAGATTTTTTATGTATATATATTACTGATTGATCTGAAACTTGGTATGTTCAGAGGTATTATAAAGGCAAACATTTTACTTGTAGGTCTTAAATCTCTATCCTAACCCCTATGGCTTCTAAAACGTTTCGTCCAACTGAATTATAATATTAATATTATTTCGTTTGATCTGAAACTTGTTATAAGAATTTATATAAAATTTAAACTAAAACCAATGTAATATTTTCCATAGCAAAATAAATCATTAGTTAGTTTCAGGCACCTTTTTTTTTTGCCAGTGTAGCCAGGAAAAGTGCCATTTTTTTGCCTCTGTTCCTCCTTACATTGTCTGATTGATTTTGTTACTTAGCGGAATCTGCTCATTAGGCTGCCTACAAAACATTACAAACATTGGCAGAAACAACACAAAACCGACATTGACCGAACGGCAATTAGCAATTTGTGGCACTTGCAACTGGTATTTGTATTGGGTTTCGTCTAACAAATCGTCGACACAACTGGCGACAGGAAAAGTCAATTAGACGGAAGCCATTTCGAGGACAACTTGGTAATCTTTAATTTCAAACTAACTATTTTAAATGGGGGTAGTTCGACCGTATCCTCAACCTATTCAGGTTTTGATCCTGGAAGGCTTCTATTCAGATACGGTAAAATGTATCCTATTGCAGGATTAACAAGGGCAGAGTAGAAGAAATTTAATAAATCGACAAAAAGGTGTATAAGGGAAGGGTTTCTGGGCTATAAAATAAAGTAAAATCAACTACAATTTAATATAATTGTGGAATTTTAATCAATGTAAAGCAATTCTACAAATATATCTATTTTAATCGATTAAAATCGAAATAATTCAAATTATATATGTATGTGTACATATTCATCATAGATTTTTTAGTTTATTGATACCTATCCTATCTTTTACCTAACCTACATATATTTTATTAATCGATATTTCAATTAAACTAATAACTTTTTTGTGTTTTTGGCATCGGAACTATGAAATTTATAAAATTAAGTAACCTTTATTATTATATTAAATATTATTTATTTTTATTATATTGCATACTTTTAAACACAAATTAAAGAGGTTTCAAAACTCTTTTTATATATTTATTTTATTAACATTAATGATTATTCTCTGTCTGTAACCACTAACAACATTCTTTGAATGCCAATTAAAAGCCTTTTTTGCTTTCCCACTCACCTGTCGTTATCGTTACCGTCCAGGTGAGCCAGTCGTGGTGCGTAAAGTTCGTATAATACAGCCAGAAATTGTATTTGGTGCCGGGCAGGGCCCGTGAGAATTGAATTTCATCACCAATGTCCCGCGAGGCAATGGTTGTGTTCGGCTCCGGATAACCAAAGGGCGGACGGTAGTCCAGCCGATAGGAGGCCCCATCATCAAGGCCGGGATTATTGGGTATACTAATGGCTAGATCGGCACAACTCACATCCTGGAAAGGTAAGAGAAATATACAAAATATTATTATTAAAGTATCATATACATTTAACTAATGATTTTATTTAGTTATTGGTCATTTCCCCATTGTTTTGTTACTACCCCTTTTGTTTAATGTTTGTTCCCCCCGTCATTTTCAGCTGAGCTGAGCCTCCTCCTGCACAAAAAGTGCAATGACATTACATCTGCAGTTACGGTTGGCCATATAAAGTACCAAGTACGGGGAGTGACAATTAAATGGCACACGGCCGCCTCCCAATGGAAGCGGTGACGATGACGATGATGCAGATGCACACACAGATGCAGATGCAGATGCAGATACAGATGCACATAAAGATACAGATACAGATGCAGACAGAGAAGGAGATACCGAGATGAATAAGATAGGTGTGTTGGCTGTAACGATGTTTGCTGTCCTTGTCCCATGCACAGTGGGAAATCAACAATTAATATTAACAAAAGAGAAACAACAAAAAAAGAGTATATAATTTACAACATGTCTTTGAGCCAAGAAACCACATAGAACATGGAAAAGCATTAGGTTCACTTGGAAATACAGCTGTTTCTGATCTTCTGCAACAAAATACATCTATCCTAAGAAATATATATAAAATATTTAAATAAAATGTAGTTTCCATTTAATAATTCTCCACTTTTCTCCCTGTGCCACCGTTGGCAGCTCCCTGACGCTGTCTGCTGGTGCCAGACGCCAAATATTAACACCGCAAACAATGAGCTACCCTTTTCACCGTCGCTGCTCTCGCAGGACTCCATCGCGCGTCAGAAAAAAAAGAGAAAATATAACAAAAATAATAAAACGAGGAATAATGGATTTGGCTAGCAATGGGACACACAGATGATGCTGCCACACATATCCCGACGGCCGGCAGACGGAGAATTAAGCTTCAGAACATTAAAGGATTAAAATGACGGAAATACAGTCGCCGGCAGTGGGGTTTCTGGCTTAAAACTAGACTTGAAATATTATAATGAAGAGGTATATGCCAAATATAGCAAGGGAATGTAGTAAAATTGAACCAATTCAATGTGAGGAAAGAGGCCACTTGGATTTGCCTTTAAAGTGTTTTTAATTTAATGTCAAAAAAGGGAAAGAGTTTCTACTTAAAATTACATGCTTTTTAAATAAATATAATTTTAAAAAATACAAGATAGTTACAAGAAATTAACTAATGGAAAATAAATTTAGTAATAAAATGAAAAACAACACAACCTTTATAGCAGTTAGAGTATTATTTCTCTGGACGCTTGTAAACCCATTAGAGTTCCTCAATCTGACTCAAGAATCAACGTTATGATGACAGTTATTACCGAGACACTTTTCAAACCCATCAATTTTAACGCTCAATTAGGTAAATGGAAACGCAAATCAACCAAGTCCATGCTTATCCTCAATTTGGGCCGAAACTATCAATTTCTACTGTCCAGCGCGTTTTAGTTTCTAACTTTTGTAATTTCATTTGCCAGCAATTTCATTTCGCGTTCGGTGGGCTTGGGGGCGTGGCAATTCAAATGTTTTCAAATGTATTTAAATGGCCGCACAGGAAGTTCATAAAAATGAGAAAAATAAGAGAAGAAAAGAACTGAAAGGATTGGACTATGTGATACCCAGCATTCAGTAGGTTAAATTCATAGCATTTTTTGTGTTATTTTTTTATTGTCCAAGAAGTTTAGATCAATTTTATTTTTTATATATATATTTTTTAAGTGCATCAATTGTAATTTAACAAAAATTTAATGAAAACCTAAAACTTTAAGAAGTTTATTAACGAGGTAAAGGACTTTAAATTAACTGACGGACAAACGGACATGCGGACAAGGCTTTTTTTTATATATGATCAACTAGAGATCACTTTAGCTTGCAGTAAATTTATAGTAAATATTTTATACCATTTGATATACCCCCGAAGTTAGCCAGAATCCCCTAGTAAAAGGCAAGTAAGTTGACCATCAAACTGAAAGCGTTTTAACGGACACACACAAACAACACACAGCCACAGGAAAATACACTCATACACACACACGAATCGTGTCAAAATGGCGCTCAACAAAATGGCGTCGGGAAGCGGATAAAAATAAAGTTCCTCAACTTGTTGGCTTGATTGATGCCTTTGGCTTTGGCAAATAAAAAGCGTAATTCAGCCCAGTTTATGCGTGACGACATTTCGTAAAGTGACTGCAAGACTTGATGACTTTCTTTATGGTGATTCCAAGTTAGTTTTCTCCATTAAAAGGTCAAGTTTATTAAGTTAAGGAGTATGTCGGAAGGAAGAGGTGGAAATAAGCAAAGACATTATAAAACAAAAATATAAAATAACAGTAGAAAAATTCAAAGTTTTAAATTTATTAAACAATTAAAAATTAACTTGCATTTTTGTAAAAATAAGCAAACAACATTAAAACCATTAAAAGTTTAAAATTAATTAAACAATTAACTTGCATTTTCGACCCTGATAATCCCGAATAATGTGTTTATTTTATTTGTTTTTTATATAGATTTTTTTTTGTATATAGTTACAGCATTTGCATTTGGAATTTTCTCAATCTGAATGCGTTTTCCCAAGGACGCATAAACTAGTGGGAACGTGCGAAAAAATCAACGTCGCATGCAAACTTAACTCGGCTGCAATTGCCGGACAGTGGCAACCGATTTGCACTCGGCCCACCAGTACCAGTCTGTCCCTGCCCCCTGGCCCCCACTCCGGTCCATTTAACAAAAAGCATTGTCAACCTGTTTGATTTGACAGCTTTTTTTATTTTGTGAAAGAGAGCACTTAACGCTATCTCCCCACCTCTTCACCTGCTCCACTCATGCATTTGGAATGGAGTTTGCCAATTACTGTCGTCACTCACTCAATCAATCAGTCCAACAATCAATTATTTATTATTTATACGCCCAGGCGGCTCAATTGCAATATTTTCACAACACGTAAAGTACAGTGGGTGCTATAAAAGAGGGAAATTCATAAGAAATAAAAATGTAACGACTTGAAGTCAATAAAAATGTTGTAGGAAAGCTTTGAATTTTATAAACATTGCATTAGGATATGCATAAAAAATGCATATTTTATTGTATACATTTTCTTGGCACTTGTTTAGTGATTATTAAAATTTTGAATATTTCAATATTATATGAATATAGATGAATAGTAATGAGTTCAGTTGAATATAGATGAATATAGATAATTATTGATGAATAAAAATGAAAATAGATCAATTTAATTGAATATATATAAATCTATATTATATATGTATATATATATATATGGATGAATATTTATGAAAATAGATTAATTTAGAAGAATGTACCATATATATGAATTTTGATGAATATATGTAAGTGAATATATATAAACATTAATAAATATATATGACTTTATATATTCAATTTAATTTATATTAAATTTAAATAGGGATAAATATAGATTAATATAAAGTAATACAGATGAATACAAATAAATTTGGATGAATATCAATCAATATAGTTGAATATATACATTTTATTCTCTTCTTCGTTTAGATAATATCCCTTTTCCATGTTCGGTATATTTAAAATTTAAGACAAACCTTATAAAAACTCACTTTACAGAATGTTCACTGTGAAAAACAATTCATTTTTTTGCAATATACGTTGCGCTTTCGCTTTAGAAAATGCAGAGAGTAGTCGGGGGGGGCATGTGTAAAAATGAAATCAAAATGAAATGTTGGCCAGCCAGCGGCTCTACCAAAAGCGGCTATAGTCCGACTTACCCCCTTTTTTGTGGGCGCCTAACTGTAACTCGCTTGCATAATTGAATATTTCTCTTTTTCTCTCTGTTGTTCAGTTGAGCTTCTTGTTTTTTTTTTTTTTTTTTTTTGTTCATTTCGCTTTTTCGAGTGGTCTGTGCGTCTGTTACTGGCGTTTTCTTTTCTTTCTATTTTGGCCATTACATGATGCTCGTCGATGACTACCATTAGTCATTAGCCAACATAATGATGATGATGATGATGGTGTGAAGGCAGTGCTGCCTCACAGTTTCCAAAAAAAAACGGGAAATTCTGAATTTTCAGCCTGATATGTAAAGAAAAATGTATTTCAAAACCATATATTTACGTGAAATATTTCTGAAAACCTCAAGGAAATCAATTCCAATTAATAGTTTCTTTTCAAAATTTTAAAAAAATTTTAAACTGCATATTTTGTAAACTAAAAACTAAACTGCCTGCACTGCCTCCTCTTAATGGCAACATTTTAATGATGATGATGATGATGATGATGATGATGATGATGATGATGGTAAATTCAACGGCGATTATTAACGCATATAATAGTGTGTCAGTCTGGTCACATTATGCAATTAAATATTCGCAGCGCATACTTCATTGAAGAAACACACACACACACACCTATGATGTGTATATGGGAAATATATATCCACGAATCCGTTGCGGTCTCGTTTCATTTAAATGCTCAATTTACACTCGCACATTATTCGCACAGGGGCTTTGCCGTTGCCTTTATTTGTTTTGCAATTGCGCGGTTCGGGCACAAACCATTTGAGTTAATTTAACCACACCCAATTCCCCTCATTCCGCGCTTTGTGACTCACTTTTTAAGGCTTAAGCCAAAGCCGGAGTTTGTCCAAAGAAAATAAAAAAAAAAGATAATACATACATAAAAAAAAAACAACCAAAAACAAAAAAAGCATATTAAATTAATGGCAATTAACAATGAGCAGAAAGCCTTCGATTTTGCCAGTCAAAACCCTAAGCCACACAAGGTTGCGATGGCGCGTTTAAACTGCTTTAAGTTTTATGGCCAAGGCTTTATAAAAAAAATAAGAGATTACTTAAGGAGTTTTTGGCAAAATTCTGAAATATTAGAGATTATTCAGTTTTCAGGCCTGTGAAAGAAAGAAGATTTTATCCGTAATGTTTCTGTTAGATAGCTCCAAAACTGAGAGACTTGATAGAGTAAAAACGGACAGAGAGACGGAC